TGCTGAACCCAAGAAAGCATCAGTAATGACAACAGCACACCCCCAAACTCCCCTCTTTCTTTGCAGCAGGATCCTGTCCCAAGAATATCAAGCACGTTTGTTGAGCATGTTCCTTATGCAGTCCTCTACCCCTCTAGGCTATTATTCACTGTTATCGCTGCATGTCGGCGAGGAATGATCATTCCTCATGTTCCTATTGATAAGGAAACAAGCAGGGCTCCTGTGTGAGATGCAAGTTTCACAATGGCAGAGCTAATCTGTAAAAGGGAAATGGTTATTACCTTGGGGCTCGAGGATGCACACAGCCTAGAAATAAGTGCCCTGCTGGGAAACAGGGCTGGCAGAATATGATTCAGGCTGCACTTGCCTTCTCCGCTGTTAACATGCACTTCCAGAGAGGGTGCAGATGGGACAAGTGCAAAGAGAACTCAGTAGAGTGATAGAGTTTCTATAGAGGAGCCAAACACTGTCAACTACCAAGCAGGTGGGGTTGCAGACAGCAATGCACATTAAAGGAGATCTTAAGGCAGAGGAAAGCGTTGGGCTGGGAGTGGAATATGATCTGCTATTCACACCCCCTAAGGGAAGGAATCTAAATATTTCTTGGACTTCAGCTTCAGCCACTGAAACGCATAAAACCTCAAAGGAAACAGCTGTTTTTTTTAATGACTGCACTACAGATTTCAGGTCACCATCACTTATATACACACCTGCTGTACCTCGTGGTGAATTGTAGGTTTATCCTCTTGTGCTCCTTATAGTAATCACAGTGCTTTGAGTGTCCTGTTCACTGGTAGCAGAAGACTTCATTTTAGTGGAGTTTGCTGTCAAAACAAACCATTTTAAGGGGATAACTTCTTATCTGGGCTGTGGGCTACAAATCGGAGATTGCCAAACCCAACTGTTCCAATAATCTCCAGCTGCCAACTTTATATGAAGGGTTGTGAGTAAATTCAATCAAGCAACAAACACATCCAACAACCCACATGTATGCAAACTAATCACCGTCTCAAAGAAAAGTGGAAATTCGCCTTTGCAATGACAAAACTTCGACCAGCTCTGCTTTGTGGACAAAATGGATAGAAGTCCACCCTGTCTGCTTGAAAGGCTGCGTATCTGGTGAATATGAGCAGGGAATCTGGAAAAGCAGCAGGCACCAACTCTGCACTTTACTGCCCTGATATTTGATATGATCCAATATCTGCTGAAGTCAAATGATTCTGTGTCTAGACCAGAGACAAAGCCATTGGCACCTGGGAGAGGAAACTTTGCTATTGGATAACTTTGCTATTGGACATTTGAAAGAAATTCTTGCTTTCTGTCTTGGGTGTGTATATGGCCTTCTTTAACATAATACCTGAGCACTTCACAATCTTTCCCTGGGAGGTAAGAAAGTGCTATTATCCCCATTTTGCAGAGGGGAAACTGAGGCACAGGGCTGCTAAGTGACTTGCGCCAGATCTCATTGAAAGGCCATGAAAGAGCAGTCAGGTGAACCCAATCCAAGAATAGTGCCCTCACCCTTACCCCATCCGCTCTCTCTTCCTCAGTCCTTTTAACAAAAAACCCACCTAAACTAATTACCATTATTTGATTTCCTCTCCCTACCTTTATCTAGTACCAATTTATGATACATCATTCTACCAGAAAAGCTCCCAAACACACATTTTTTTCTTCTGCTAGGAGTTTGCTGCTCCAAATTGATCTGTTTATTAAAAAACAATAACTGAACATTTCTGAGCTTAAAAAACCCCTGTATTTCTGTGTGTACAGCTGTTACCTGTACAATTGTGCCCATGCATTTCAAATATAATAATTTATTTAGAGAAAAATGTCTTGGCAAAGTTTTAAACTAATTGTTATCAGTGTATTTTTTCTATTTCGTGCAGAACAATGTAATGTCCTAGTGAGTACTGTATGCATGAGTACCATTGATGTCCACTGGACACCTGATATTGGTATTGATTGGAAACCAAGTAGCAACAAAAGTAAAGTTTCCTTTACTCACACCAAGTGGAGTTCAAACAGGGATAGACAGCAACTGTCAGCCTGTTTCTGCTTTTGGCACTGTCTACACAGCAAGAAGTCCGAGGAAGAGCACTCTTCTTCCAATTTCCCTTGCTCCTCATAAAATGAGGGTTACAGGAGTCAGAGTAAGAAGTCTTCCAGCTCAACATTATGTTGAAATAGTTGCTTATGTGTAGACACCGGACTATGTTATTTTGGAATAATGTCAGTATTCTGCTGTGTAGATGTACCCTTATACAGCATCTAGCAAAATGGGGCCCTGATCCTGGATAAAGTCCTTTGGATTCTTCTGTTACCCAAATAATAAATAGTATAAACAGTGAAAAACACTTTGGGCCCAGTCCTAGAAACTCATACTAACACTGAATCAAACTGATCCCTGTGCAGAGGCATGGTGCCCCTGCACTACTTAAATCCTCAAAATTGGGCATAGGAGGCATATAAGTAGCATGGATGCCTTGAGCTGACCTCTGCAGGGAGACAATTTCTCCGATTGCAAATAGCCTAGTTAAAATTAATGACATTACTACCTCAATAAAGTCTTGCTGGATTTTTTTATGGCTAGAATGAGATAAATAGGCAGCACAAAACTATGCATGTAATTTGCAAAGCAATCAAGTTACAAAATGGCAACAGGCAGGCCACATTCTACATAAGGACTGTGAGGAATGTATCACGAGACAAGCGTTAGAATGGAATCCAAAGGGAGAGAGGAAAAGGGGACATCCCAAACAAACATGGTAATGAAGCTGCCTGGATGGAGTAAAAGCAGCTGGCTTAACATGGGATCAAATCAAGACTATCGCTAAGGATCACAGGAGATGGAGAATGACTGTGGAGGCCCTATGCTCCATTAGGAGCCCAAAGGACTAATAGATATGGATAGAGTTACAAAATGGTTTAGCTGTAATGCTTTTTTAGTTGTTAACATCAAAAATTGATGGTATTCATTGGTTTTGTTATATGAAGTTCTTACCATTACAGAATAACTTTCCATATAATTAAATTATATCTGCAAGACTCAAGGGTCTCCAAACTGAATTTTGTTAACAAAATCATTTTCAAATTAATGTTGGTAGTACTATTTGGTTTTCTTTATAGAAATTTTTAAAAGATTATTCCCTCTCCTAAATGTAAGCATTCATGGCTGCAACTAAAATGTTTTGCTTTTAAGGCAAACTGCAGTAAATGTCATCAAGTAAGCTTTTATAGCAGCAGAACACATACAAGTACTGAGAGTGGACTAACAGGGTTTAATTGGAGCAGGTATAATCTTATTCTTTCTTTTTATTTAATTAATAACTGTTTGGTTATCCTTTCTATGTTCTTTTATTAAAAGTGAGAACAATTATATGGAATAATAATTAACTATTATAATTGTGAGATCTCTTTGCCAAACAATATATAATACAATAAAAACACAGACCCCGCTCTTGCAATCCCAATTCACCTGAATGATTTTTATATAAACTGAGTAAGAGTGAAGCCCATAATTAAAATCCACCCTTTTGCAATCCGAAAAGATAAAGACACCTGGAAACTGTCTTTAAGAATTTACTTTCCAATGCCTTATGGGGGGCACTGGCAAGTGCAAAGTGATAGGAATGAACAATTACATTGCTTTAGGTATTGTTCCAGTGACATCTCAGAGAATTAAAAGTATCCCACACATTCACCAAGATGCAGCCACTAAGATTTCATCCTTTTGACCAATAGTTTTTAATCTGTGGTCTGCAAACTCCTGAGAGTGTGTCTACACTGCAAAGTTATTTCAGAATAATGGCTATTATTCCAAAATATTAATGTGAGCATCTACACAGCAATAGCATTATTTCGAAATAATTTCAAAATAACGGGAGACTTATTCTGACTTCTGTAAATTTCATTCTATGAAGAAAAACACCTATTCTGAAATAGTTATTTCGAAATAGGGGCTGTGTAGACGCTCCACTTCTGCTATTTCAAAATAGCCCCTCACCAGGGCCATTCTAACTTATTCCTCCCTAGTGCCTCCTGGGGCTCTAAATCGAAATAGCACATTAGGGAAGCCTGCCTCAGACTAATTTTGAGTCTTCCTTGCAGTGTAGATGTGCTATTTTGAAATAAGCTATTTCGGAATGGCTATTCTGGAATAGCTTATTCCAAAATAAATGTGCAGTGTAGACGTAGCTTGAGGGTCCATAGACTGGGTGTGTCTGCACAGCAAAGTTATTTTGGAATAACGTCCATTATTCTGAAATTACTATGCGAGCATCTACACAGCAATTCCATTATTTCAAAATAATTTTGAAATAATGGACAGCTTATTCCGACTCCTGTAAACCTTATTCTACGAAGAATAACGCCTATTCTGAAATAGCTATTTCAAAATAAGATGTGTGTAGATGCTCCACTTCTGCTATTTCAAAATAGCCCCTCACCAGGGCCATTCTAACTTATTCCTCCCTAGTGCCTCCTGGGGCTCTAAATCGAAATAGCACATTAGGGAAGCCTGCCTCAGACTAATTTTGAGTCTTCCTTGCAGTGTAGATGTGCTATTTTGAAATAAGCTATTTCGGAATGGCTATTCTGGAATAGCTTATTCCAAAATAACTGTGCAGTGTAGACATAGCCACTATGTCTAAGGCAGGGGTGGTCAAATTCTGGCCAGGAGGCTAAATCTACTCCACAAGGTCAGTCTCTAGCAGGCCTCCACCTCCATGTTTACCTGCGCCTGGGCAGGTATTGGAGGATTGCAGCTCTCATTGACTGCAAATCAACATTTGTGGCCAACACAAGTGTGACGGGCCGCCAGTGACCCGCACGGGAGATGGCCTGGGCCGTTGGGCTGCGGAAAGTGGCGGTGCAGACCCAGCCTCTGCGCCTGCGCCAGTGGGGAACTGCTGGCCCCTCCCCGGGGGCGGCGCCTGGGGGGGGCCAGGGCAGAGATAGGCAGCCAGGCGGCTGCTGGAAATGCTGGCACGCCGCCGGAAGCGGGGGAGCCCTGGGCGGCATCCGGCGCAGCGGGACATTTTAAAAAGGCCCACTATCAGAGAGGAAGGAGAGCTCCCGAGCGCAGGACAGACCCAGGGCAGGACCGAGGCCGGCAGATGGCCCGGCCTCGCCCTAAGGGTTCCCGAGATGGCCGCTGCAGCTGGCGGTCGGCCAGTCCTGGCTCCGACGGTGACCGGACCCAACCCCGCCGGCCCTGGAAGGAGCGATCCGACAGGGACCGGACCCGCTGGAGGGGGCAAACCTGCGGGACATCGCCGGAGCAACGCCGGACCTGGACTCCTGAACCTGGGTAGGCTCTGGGGATTGGTACGGAGGCACGAAGGCCCCCGGGAAGGGAGGAAGGAGCTCGGGGCAGGGCCCTTTTGGCGTCCCTGGGTAGATGAGGGAATTACCCCCATCTACCATGTCGGGGCGCGAGTGAGCCCCTGCGCTTAGGGCCCCCGGCTGGGACCCGGAGAGAGGGTGGGACCGGGTCCCCCTCTCCCATCCCCCAGGAGTATTCAATCCTGGTCAGCGACAGCGCGTGCGTGAAACAGAGAAGGGTGACGGTCGGACAGTAGGGCTGGCCCGGATAGAGGTCCCGGGAAGGACCGGACTGTGGGCCCAGGCCCCACCCCGCAGAGACGGGCTGCAGTTGCAGAGTCCGCTGAACCCCCCTCCCCGGCCTGGCTGGGAGGAGGTGATCACACCCAACTGACAGGGCTTATAACCGGGGGCCCTAGACAGGACCCCGTTAAAAGAGGGCAAAGGGGTTTGCCGAGCCCCCCTCCCCTTCCGGGAGGGGGTGATCGCACCCCGAACCGTCCACAGCGAGCAACGGGAAGCGGCGTACTGGTCCCCAATACTTCCCACCACTTGCATTGGCCATGAACAGCAATTCGCAGCCAACCAGATCTGTGATCCTCTGATACTTGCATAGGCGCAGGTAAACGTGGAGCTGGGAGCCTGCCAGGGACTAACCTTATAGCCTGCTGTTTTTTTTATTGCCCACCCCTTGTCTAAGGAGTCTGCAAAAGTTTGTTACCATAGAACAATGGTTCTCAACTGGGAGTACTTGAACCCAGGGGGTACACAGAAATCTTCAAGGGGGCATATCAGTTCGTCTAGGTATTTGCCTACTTTTACAACAAGCTACATAAAAAGCACTACAAAAATCAGTACAAACTAAAATTTCGTACCATTACTTGTTTATGCTGCTCTGTACATTATACCCTGAAATGTAAGTAATATTCCAGCTGATTCATTTTACAATTATACGGTAAACATGAGAAAGTAAGCAATATTTAGCAAGAGTGTGCTGGGGCTCATTTGTATTTTTATGTTTGATTTTGTTAGCAAATAGTTTTTAAGTGAGGAGCTACTTGGGGTACACGAATCAGATTCCTGAAACTCCATGGACTATGGCTAAGATTTCCAAAGGCGGACATGCCTCCAATCAAAATTGCTTGGGGGAGGGGGGGGTTACAAATGAGAAAACCACTGACCTAACTTACAGGACCCAGCTGTTCTGTTCTGCATATTCCCAGTCTACCCCTTTCTAACTCACTGGTGGTACCGTCTAAGACTAAGCTGGCTCCCCTCAAAAAACCTTTCACAATACACTGTAAATATTAGAAAAACATTTTTTAGATGGGATGGGAAAAAATCCTGGTGTTTTCCTTTAAGTCCTGTCCCTTAAACTTTGCCACTTCTCCCCCTGCGCCAGAGCTGAACATGGTACGGCCCGCTGCAGGCTTTGTCTTGGAACTGAGTTGATGTTAGCCTAGCAACCAGGGGAGAGGAGCTGGGCTGGGGATGCTGCTGGCCCTGCAGGGCACAGGGGGGGCAGGCTGCTAGGCTGGGCTGCCTTGCTCCCCCTTCCACTCCCCCTCCCCATAGCCGTGGCCAGGGCTCTAGGAAGTGGCCCGCGGGCGGAGTAGGGAGGTAGGTGCAGAAGTTGGCTGCAGGCTGAGCACAGGTGAGTTGCTGGCTGCCTGCCCTGCTGTGGGTGCCCGGGACCCCTGGGGCTGAATACAGGACCCCCTGTGCAAACAGACCTGCTGCCCTACATCTCATGCCATCCTCCATTCCTGGGACTTCACTATAAAGGAGCCTCTCCTGCTGGGGGTGGCAGGGATTTTTGCCACGTGTTCCCGTGTTTCAGGGAGACATCGAGGGGCACCGTTTTAAGGGTGAAGTATTTGCAGGCGTGTTCTGTTTGCAGGTGCCAGTCAGACGATTGTGTATTTGGCTGTCCTTCTGAGCGCACATTAATCCAACGTTCACGCAAAAACCTGAATGTGTGCATGCCACTCCAGGCCTAACTCCTCAGAGGTATTTAGATGCCCAATTCCTGTTGATTTTAATTGTGGTTCTGAGCCTGGAAACAGCTTCGCGCGCATGGTCTCTGTGTACACTGAGCCCATTGCATATCAGGGCTATGGCTTCCAAATACACCTGTGTGGGGTTTTGTGCATGCCAAGGATATGGGCCGTGGAGGCAAGAACATTGAAACTTTGGCCCTTATGATCAAATGCTGAATTATTTTAAATCTCTATTCAAATTCTTACCTGGGGAAGACATAGTCCAGGGCTAATAATAAAGGCAGTCAGTCTCAAAACAATGTGTTTTAACTTTTTTTTTAAGATAGTCAATAAAATATTGACGCCTTTACCTTCATAAAATAAAAATGAAATTTTATTTAAAGCCACTGAATAAATCTGCATTCAGAGTCTCACCTCACTTATTATTTATGAAGTGTGCTTGGTACTCTACAAGATACAGAAAGATCTAATGGCTCAAATATTAATAAACGTAGAGTAAAAGCCTCTCATTTAAGTCAGTGTGAGTTTTGCCATTGACTTCAATGGGGCCAATATTTCACCTGTAATGTTTATTACACAGAGTAGTTAAATTGATAGTCCTGGCCAATAGTAAGTATAGGATCATGATCTTAAAGGCAGATGCAGATATACTGGGAATGAATAATATGTTGATGGGTTGGGGGAGGGAGGATTGCTGTTGTCAGTCACTGATATGAACCTATATGGAAAAGTATTTTCCTAATATAGTTCCATCGCCTGCTTTTCACACCTTTTACACTTACTGTGGAACCATAGCAAAGAGTATGAGTATGGTGATTTTATAAAGGTTGGACCTCCGTGGTCCAGCATCCTTGGGAACTGATTGGTGACAGATGAGGGATTTTGCTGGACCGGGGATTTTGCTGGACCATTTCTGGCCCCTCTGCTACTGGCTCCCCTATCCCTGGCCTGGCCAAAACCTGTTGCTGGCCCCCTCTGCCCTGCCAGCCCACTAAGCTTTCTAGCCCCACGAGACAGCCATGCTGAGGCATGTCAGGCTCCTGGCAGCCTGCTGCCCAGCCGGCCCACATGTCTCCAAGCCGCCAGCCCTCCACCAGGCCATAGATGTTGCTAGACCAGAGAGACCCAGTATAGAGACATTCAATCTATAATTAAATTCCAAAGTATAAAGTTAGCAGTTAATTAACACAAATGGAGAGAAAGTAGCCCAGTATTTGTAATTGTTTTAACATGCAATTGTGAACCTTTTGTTGGGACCAGTATAAAATCATGTTTGTCCTTCCCAATACATTTGTTTTCTCGTCCTGATTTGTGAAAACTATTGAGTTCAGAAGAGCTAACCTGTAAAACTGAAGCATGCTAAGTTATTAAGAAACATCACACAGGACCCAGAAATCAGTAGAAGCATTTTACATGTTTAGGGAGGAAAAGCACAGTCCCTGCCTCAAAAAGCACATAGTCCAGACAAACAGAATGCAGGACATAGAACCACAAAACAAAGTACCAGGAATCTGGGAGTCTCTGTTTCTCAGATCAGCAGATCTCCAGCTCACTCTGTGGAAGGTCTTTTCTATAGTGGAGCTCTTCCTTAACCATTTTAGTTGTAGCCAGTAGCTGTAGCAGTAGGATCTAAGCGAGTGTAAGAATTGTAGAGCATGTATAATGCCACATTCCTGGATGGGTTGTTGGCAGTGAAGTTTGATGTGGGACCTCTGGTGAAATCTGAGCTCTGCTGTCTGAGTTAAAAGACTCCTATCACCTATCACTATTACTAGAGCGGGACAGAGCCCCACCTTGAGTAGGTGTTTTCATAGGCAGGAAATAATGTTGCATCAAGTATGTGATTGTTTTGAAACCTGGATCCAGTGCATGCTACTAACATAGCCCCCATCTCCACTGTCTAGGGTTGCCAGGTGTCAGGTATTCTATCGGACAGTCCGGTATTTGCGCTTTGTCCAGTAAAAAAATCAGAGAATACCGGACATGTGCAAGGTCTGGTATTCTCTGATTTTTCCAGCTGCACACTGGACGGAAGCCTGGCGTGGGCGCAGGGAGCAGCTGGAAGGTGGAGCCACAATCGGCACTAGGAGCCTGTGATTGCACAAAAGCCTGGCGGGGGCAGGGGGAGTGGCTGGGACTCCCCACCCCAACAAGGCTTCTGCGCAATCACAGGCTCCCAGCGCTGATCATGGCCCCACCTCGCAGCTGGGACTCCCAGGCTGGGAGGCGGGGCCATGGGGATGGGGGGAAGGGCTGGGACCAAACGCACGTTGGGTTTTTTTTTTTGCTTGACCAAAATACCGCGTGTCCGGTATTTTGGGGGGGACCATCTGGCAACCCTACCACTGTCCCTGGCCACCTCCATTCTTGGGCTAGAAGAACATTTGTGGAGAAGGGGAAAAGGAGGCTCCTTGAGGGAGGGAAGCTTTTAGGCATAATGGCTTTTCCTCTCCATGCTTGGGCCAAGGCTGTCTTCCCTTCTCCTTCACCTAGCAGTTGCAGGAGGTGGGGGAGCAAAGGGCCTATGCCATATTTGTGAGCAAATTTCCATGTGGATTATGTCTAGTTTTCTTATTGTGCAACATTTCGGGCATGTCTCTAGACAAGTTTCTGTTCTGATAACTGTGTTTAGTTAAATAGGATCCATAAGCCCCTTGGCTTGCTTAAATGTGCATTTATCTTTGTTAAATAAATGTCTTATCCAAACACTAGTTAAACAAAGGATTTAAATACCACTTCTATAATTTGACCTATTAATATTTAACAATTAAAGAGGAAGCTATAAGTTAATGCCCTAAACCTAAATACTCATCAGATACTGGAAGAACCTATCTGGGCAATTCATATGTCAAAAAGACCCTTTCTGCCCTTGTTTGTGCTAGAGGTCATTGAGAGGAACATAAAATCTCTTTCTCTATATAGACACAATCATCTACCTCCTCCTTTGGGAGATACTAGAATATCTCTATTGGGAGATACTGGAGTGTGCATGGTAAGACCTGTCAAGGACAGGTAAGGACGCTGGTCCATCATATCTAGCGCTAACATCATCCAATGGCTGGAAGTCAAAGCTAGATGAATTCAGAATGTAAATAAGGTGTAAATGTTTAAGATGTTAATGTGTAATCGGCCATTGGAACAATTTACGGAGGCTTATGGTGGATTATCCATCTCTGGCCGTTTTAAAATCAAGATTAGATGTTTGTCTAAAAGATCAGATCTGGGAACTAATTTAGGGCAGTTCTATGGTCTGTGTTATACCTTAGGTCAGACTAGATGGTCACAATAGTAGGGAACCTTTTTAGGGTTGGGGGCCACTGATCCACAGAAAAATCAATTGGGGGCTGCATGCAAGTGAGAAGCAAAAACAAAAACAACCCCCCCAAACCCTCACTGAAGTGGCCCCCGACTAAGAAGGAGAAAGATACTCCGCACATTCCCCTCACGCCATCCCTGCAATAGAATTTATAAATCTATGAGTCTGTCTCTTAAGGAACATACCATGTTCCCAGTAGAAGCATGGTCAGGTAGAAGAGGACCCCTAGATGCCTCGACCATGCTCTGCTAGCAGCAGTGGGAACTAGCCAGCAGATTTTGGGGCGACTATATTGCTCCTACTGAGAAAGTTAGTAACATCCTGCCCATGGCGTAGCATGCCCACTTGTTGGCATACTATCAGGATGTCTCAAGTGCCAGTCTTGCAGCCAGCTGTCAACCACTAATCCTACCCCCATCAGTTGTTTTCTACAAGAACGGGTGATAGCCTTTCTGGGTTTTTGTAGGTCAGGGCTGTAGTCCAGTGGCAGCGTATTATGGGCATGCGTCATAATTCCTGACTGCGCTATCCCTCACTTTGGCTCTCTCTCTCTGGGTCATAACCGGATGTGACACTGCTGTTGAAGGCTCAGTCCAGTAATTCAAAGGTATTGTAAGTAAGAGGAGGGAAATGAGTAAATAATCTTGTCTGTTCCTTGGAGCATCTGTTTATTGATGGAGCCAGTCCTAGCGGAGGTAGGCTGCTTGGTGCAAGAGTCATTTGTTTCTATGAGCAGCACGTGGAAACTCAGGTATTAGCAGTGGTCAGGAGCGTATTAATCTCTCTATCAGGGGTGATTGGTGAGAAGGAAGCTGGGGGCCACCAGCCATGTGACCCCCCGCAGCCTGGAGGAGGACCAGGTCAACCCCTCTCTGCCCTAGGCCCCACCTCTCCTCATCCCCACCCTGCCTCTTCCCCCAACCAAAGTGGCCCAGGAAACTAGGGAAGCTGGTGTTGGCAGCGGAGACCCACCCCCCCATGCACTCACCAGCGGTGCTGGGGAAAGTGGAGCGGTATGGCTCCAGCTCGCTTTGCTCCCCCAGCCTTCCCACTGGTGAGTATGGGGGCAGTCCCGCCCCTCTCCCAAGCAAAGCTCCCAGGAGAATGGAGCAAGCTGGGGCCGCGTTGCTTCACTTTCACCACCACTGCCAATGATTGTGCGGGGAGACAGACCCCTGCTGCGGGCATCAGGCCCCCTGCGGGAAGCCGGATGGCCCCTAGCAGATGTACCCAGCATTGTTCAGGTCCCTAACTGTAGTCATGTTTGAATTTTTTTTCTTGTTGGAAATTAAGAGGAAAATACACATGCTGTATTTAAGTGATTGTATATGGCAGGGGGCTGGGAGGTGCAGGGTAGGAGGTGGGGGTACAAGAGTCAGGGCAGGGGTTAGGGGCTCAGAGTATGGGGCTGGGAAGTGCAGGACTCTGGGCAGGTGGTAGGGAGCTCAGGACAGGGGACTTAGGATAGGGAGTGGAAGGTGAAGGGCTCAGGGCAGAGGGAGGGACGGTTTAGGAGTCAGGGCATGGGGGCTCAGGGTAAGAGTGGGGGGCTCAGGGCAGGAAGCTGCAGTCAAGGAGGCTTCCCAGGGCTGCTTGTGGTGGTGAATGTGGAGCTGCTCTGGTGGCAGCTCCTCTCATGAGGGCCATGGCAGCAAGGCCACTGGCTGATGGGGCTGCTGGGTGATGAGGCTCCCCCACCCCCATCCAGCGCTGGGGACAAGAGTTTTGTCTGAGGCTTTGGGACAGGGCAGCACTTACTCAGGCTGGTGGCCTGCGATATGGAGAACCCCATCCCCAGCTGTCCACTCTCTTACTGGTGCAGCTGCCCTCCTTTGGTCACTCTTCAGTATAACTATCCCCTGCACTTGCTACCCCCCTGTGGTCATTGCAGAGCATAACTTACCCTGCTCTCTGATCCCTCCCTTTCTGTGTTATGGAAAGCAGTCAGATTCCAGACACATCCCATTGTCCTGGCACAACCAAACCCTGACCTTGTGTTAAGTTAGGAAAAGATAAATTGGTGGTTCTAGCTCTTACCGTTTAGGGAGGAGTTTTTGAACAGACACTAGACGGATAGACAGATAGACGCACATTTCTAAAATATATAGTAGATGCTAGGTGTTTAGCAGAGTACATTATCTCCACCTGTCAAGTTGGTTGATACCCCATCACTTGGATATCAGAGAATTTCATTTGGTTCCCTTTCCACTCTGGATTTATCAGTCAGTGACTATATCATAATTTTGTAATCATCATTAAATCATCCAGAGGCCTTGCTTTTAGGCTAAAGTGAATTCAGCTTCTATATTCTCTGTTAGCTATTTTATTATTGTTACTATTTATTATTTGTATTATTGTAGTGCCTAGGAGCCACCCCAGACATGGACCAATACTTGACTGCACTTGGTATTGTACAGACACAGGAGGAAATAAACAGGCCATGTCCCAAAGAGCTTGCAATCGAAGTATAAGACAGAAGGCAACAGTTACAAACAGATAATAAGACTGTACCAATCAATATGATATTTTGGTGTTAAGATTATGATTTTGTGCTTGATCATAGGTAATGACATATTTTGGTACTTGTGGGGCTGCAGTTCCATCCCAACATGGAGGTGGTTCAGTCAGCCCCTTCAGAATTCAGTCATGCAGAAAAATCGTTCAAGAAAGTACCCACCATCCTTTTGGACAGCCTCGTGGAGGAGCCTGACAAGAGAAATAGGGTCCCCGATCACCTGCTAGAGTCGAGTAAGTAGTCTGCTGTCTGACTATTCTGCAGGCCGGAAGCAAACTAAACGTCCAGGAACATTATTAGTCATTTATTTTTCAGGGACCCAGTCCTGCTCTTTTTGAAGTCCCCTTCTGTGGCAGAGCAACTCTACCTACCTCCTGGCCTAGATGTAGAGGGATGGTCATGGGAAAAGGGGTGTACTTGTAGTATAAGTGGCCCTTGGAGCCATTGGCTGCCAGATGTAATTTAATATTCCACCAGCTACGGCTACCCTATGGATTATGAATCTGCATAGGTGGCATAAAGGTATTTTTACTGTCCTCCCTGAGCTCAGCAGGATGCAGCCCTGCATCTTTGTTCGCTCTCTCATGCATGGTTTTGGTGCTACATACAAATGTTAAATAAATATACTTAACAATAAATGATATTTAGGTAGCCCAGGCTCCTTCTCTCATGTTTGCTTATCTTTCATTGCAGAGATTTATGCAAAACTCCTGAGAAACAATGTCATACAGGCTAAGCCAGCCGTATTGCATTATGGAGGGTATGAAATTGAAAAACATCACCAGCAGATCCTGGTAAGTCTTGAGGCAGGAAACAGTTAATACAATGTAAATGGATAATACATGTACACTGTGCATACTGCTGTCATGGCTCCTTCCCCACTCTGGCCTGATAAATGCAGAAGTGGGGGCCAGCAAGTGTACCCCAAAGCCTTATCTACCAGGCTTTGGTATAAAACTTCCCCCCAAGATCTTAAAAACCTAGATCTTGGGAATAAAACTTCCGCTGCCACCACCCAAATGTTGATAAAGAAATCAGGGGAAAGATCATTTGGGAAATCTTACCCCTAAAACAAAAATCAGGGCACACCATTAACCACTGCCAGGTTAATAAAAAGAAAAGAAAGAACCTTTATTATTACAACAATATTCCTGTTGCAAACATAATGACTAGATAGGGAGGTAACAAAATATACTCATGGAGAAACTCCATGGGCCTAGAACTTAGTTACAAAGAAAAGCCAAAACATCTTTTAAACAGTGCCAGATCTCAGATCCCATACCCAATCCTTAAAACAATAAAACCTAACGAAGCCTAAACTTTACCCTACTTACAGAAAATGAAGAATGATGTCTTAACAGTGCCAGATCTCAGATCCCATACCCAATCCTTAAAACAATAAAACCTAACGAAACTGCCTAAACTTTACCCTACTTACAGAAAATGAAGAATGGTGTCTTGGAGAGAGAGAGAGACATGCTTGTCCCTCTCTGTAGCTGCAGAGAACTCACCCAAAGAGGCAAAAGGGAGAAAGGAAAAAAAAACCAAATTCCTTTGTCCCAGTTTGAAAAGTCCCACCTACATTCTTATTGGTCACTCCACCTGGCTAGGTGTAGTTAACCCCTTAATCCCCAGGCTGCTGGCTAACCCTCATAATCATGACAACTGCCCAACCATCTTCTGTCCTGGCCAATGTGACCTCAAGCCAATCCTTTAATAGACTGATTTGCCATAAAGCCAGTGGTGGAGATCCAGGTCAAAGCTTTCCTAGATCACTATGATTGCATTTGGCTGTACGTGTGCTCATCAATCAAAGGAAACTCTGAAAATGCTCTTGGCCCTCTTCCAGAGGCAGTTTGATCTGGTGCATGAGGAGCTAAACTGGGAATCATGAAGTCTGGGATGCATACTAGATTTCTACCACTTGCCTTCTGAATCACCTTAGGCAAGTCATTTAATGTCTGTTCCCAGTGCTTTTTTTTGTGACAGTATGGCCTGGAACAGCATACCATAAGAACATAAGAACGGCCATACTGGGTCAGACCAAAGGTCCATCTAGCCCAGTAGCCTGTCTGCTGACAGTGGCCAACACCAGGTGCCCCAGAGAGGGTGGACCGAAGACAATGATCAAGCAATTTGTCTCCTGCCATCCTTCTCCAGTCTCTGACAAACAGAGGCCAAGAACACCATTTTATCCCCTGGCTAATAGCCTTTTATGGACCTAACCTCCATGAAATTATCTAGCTTCTCTTTAAACTCTATTATAGTCCTAGCCTTCACAGCCTCCTCTGGCAAGGAGTTCCACAGGTTGACTACACGCTGTGTGAAGAAGAACTTTCTTTTATTAGTTTTAAACCTGCTACCCATTAATTTCATTTGGTGTCCTCTAGTTCTTCTATTATGGGAACTAATAAATAACTTTTCTTTATCAGCCCTCTCCACACCACTCATGATTTTATAGACCTCTATCATATCCCCCCTCAGTCTCCTCTTTTCTAAACTGAAAAGTCCCAGTCGCTTTAACCTCTCCTCATATGGGACCCGTTCCAAACCCCTAATCATTTTAGTTGCCCTTTTCTGAACCTTTCCAAGGCCAAAATATCTTTTTTGAGGTGAGGAGACCACATCTGTACACAGTATTCAAGATGTGGGCGTACCATAGTTTTATACAGGGGCAGTAAGATATTCTGGGTCTTATTTTCTATCCCTTTCCTAATAATTCCTAGCATCCTATTTGCCTTTTTGACAGCCGCTTCACACTGCGTGGAAGTTTTCAGAGAACTGTCCACGATACGTATAGTTGGGGTTATTTTTCCCAATGTGCATTACTTTACACTTATCCACATTAAATTTCATTTGCCATTTTGTTGCCCAATCACTCAGTTTGGTGAGATCTTTTTGGAGTTCCTCACACTCTGCTTCTGTCTTGACTGTCCTAAACAGTTTGGTATCATCCGCAAACTTTACCACCTCACTGCTTACCCCTTTCTCCAGATCATTTATGAATAAGTTGAACAGGATTGGTCCCAGGACTGACCCTTGAGGGACACCACTAGTTACCCCTCTCTATTCTGAAAATTTACCATTTATTCCTACCCTTTGTTTCCTGTCTTTTAACCAGTTCTCAATCCAAGAAAGGACCTTCCCTCTTATCCCATGGCCATGTAATTTACACAAGAGCCTTTGGTGAGGGACCTTGTCAAAGGCTTTCTGAAAATCTAAGTATACTATATCTACTGGATCCCCCTTGTCTACATGTTTGTTAACCCCTTCAAAGAACTCCAATAGATTAGTAAGACATGATTTCCCTTTACAGAAACCATGTTGACTTTTGTCCAACAAATTATGTTCTTCTATACATGCCTCACAATTTTATTCTTTATTATTGTTTCAACTAATTTGCCCGGTACTGAAGTTAGACTTACCGGTCTGTAATTGCCAGGATTGCCTCTAGAGCCCTTTTTAAATATTGGTGTCACGTTGGCTACCTTCCAGTCATTAGGTACGGAAGCCGATTTAAAGGATAGGTTACAAACCACAGATAATAGTTCAGCAATTTCCCATTTGAGTTCTTTTAGAACCCTTGAATAAATGCCATCCGGTCCCGGAGATTTGTTTTTTGGGAAAGAGGGAGACAATGACTGTGTTTGTTAGGATCTCTGTTGCACTGAATACTTATCTCAGTAGATCCAAATAGGCCTATGGCCATACCAGACTGAGCGCCCCCAATCTTATCCAATCTCGGAGGTAAACTGTCCCGGGTCTGACTAGTACTTGGATGGGTGATGCCCTGGGAATCCCAGGTGCCATAGGCAGTTAGATTCTAATAAGTAAACAGTATCCTGCCTGACAATATCCTGCCTACGAAGGTTTGGTCAGTGAACTCCTGATGCCCTGACAAGTGCATATGTGCTCTACCCAGTTTTTGAGCCCCTGAACAGCTGCTCAGCAAGCATCCTTCCTTTGGGGAAGCTATTCTGTTATAACAAGAGCTGCTAATGCAGCTTAGAATTGGGAAGAAGGCTACTATAACCTTGGATCTTTGCGGGCAGAACTATCACTGTTCAGAGTTTTGTGATGTAAATGAAAACTCCAGACAATAGTCATTTTATTTCCTTTTATTTGAAAGGCCTCTATAAACATAATTATAAATTAGTAATTTCATTTTCTGATCCTTTTATATTTAAGGGAAAAACACTTTGGGCCAGATTGTGATTTGACGGCATCTTATTTTATGTAGTCCCACTGATTTCAATGAGATTACTTGTGGAATAAGGCACAACTCATCATGCCGAAGATAATTAGGATTTAGTCCTTTGTGACTGAGAAATTCTGCACACAAGGCTCAAAGAATTATTTTTTAAATCAACTACTAGTTATTGTGTTGCATTTTGAAATTCTGAACAAGACTATAAGCCGGGGTGGGCAATAATTTTTGACTGGGGCCACTTCAAACATTTCTGAAGTGGCCTGGGGCTGCCCCAGAAGGGGTGTGGCCTCAGGTAGAAGGGGCAGGGACAGGACACTTCTGTGCTTCCCTGGTCTCAGACCCTGTTTGATCTGGGGGTGGGGGAACACGCAAAATCTTCCCACCTCCCCACAGAGAGAATCGCCAGCTGTTCTGAACAGGTTACCCATTCCCCTGGCAGTGGGAGGAGACTTTGCGTGCTCCCCCTGCTGCCCCCAGGTCAATCAGGGCCTGAGGAGGGGGAGCACATGAAGAGTCTTGCTCCCTGCCCCCGCCCTACAAGAGAGCGCTGTGCTGAGAGTCAACCACCAGCTGAGGAGGAAACTTCGCACACGCCCCCCCTACCCCCAGGCCAGTCAGGGCTTGGGGGCAGAGGGAGCACGCAAAGTCTCCTCCTCCCGCCCTGCCACGAGCACATGGCACTTCTAAGCATCCTACACTCTTTGCAGGGCGGGGACAGGGTGGGAAGAGATTTCTCACACTGATTGGCCTAGGGGCAAGGAGAATGGAAGGGCATCTGTGGGCTGGATCCACTCACTTGGCAGGCCGGATCCAGCCTGAGGAGGCCCTTTTGCCCACCCCTGCTATAAGCTCTCTGGAGAGGACTGCCTCTTTGTTTGTACAGTGCCTAGCAAACTGGGCTCCTGGTCCAAAACCAAAGTTCTGAGTCACTACAGTCATTCAAATGATAGAGTTAACCGTCTTTAACATTTTCTCTGTCAACATTCAGTCTCTTATTTCATTATTTTATAGACTTGCTTTGTTAAGTATGGACTCAAGAAAATTCAGCTTTACAATATTCCCAAATGTTTTCATAAACATAACTTTTTTTAAATTCTACAGAATCTGATAAATATTTCCGGTGATGCAATAAATCTTCACATTATACCACCTCAGACAAAATACTTTCAGATCAAATACAACAAAACAGTAAGTGTCAAAAATAACAACCAGTGTGTTCATATTTGATTTTGCACTTGATAACATTGCACACTCACAGTATTTAAGTGCCTCCTGGTTTATATCCTGTGTCATTTTATAGCATCGGCTTGTCCCTGGCTTGTCATTTGCAGTTACAGTTGATTTTTGTCCTGATGAGTGGCGATATTACTATGACTGTATCCGGATTCACTGTCAGGTAAGAAGTGTCTCAAATAAAAGTACATCCTTTTGGCTGAAATGTAATAAAAATACTTTACAGAGTATGATAATAAAACAAACATTTGTAACAAATATTCATGTAACTCCACAGTACCCTTTGCTTTATCATCGATTTCTCTTTTAGTATGCCCAGTATAGCCCACCTTACTTTTTGACCCGGTGCCAATCAAAATAATATTCACAGAAAAAATACATTAAAATATTGTCAAAGGCCTGGCACAAAGCCAGAAAAAACACTGACTATAGGGATATTTTGATATAGATGGTTAAATATGGGCATAAGTGCCCAAATTTAGGCACCCAACATCCTTTACTCTAGATTATTCATAGAGTCTGAAGACCACCCCACCCCCCCCCGCCCTCTGAAAAATGTCGTGGAGTTGTGGGCCCTCAGCCTATACCAATAATCCACAAGTCAGACTGTATCTGATGCAGATCTCATAGTGTTGTGGTAATGTGTTAGCTGAGCAGATGCAGGGGAGCTCCAAACATAACTTCTCGAGGCAGAGAGAAGCTGTGGGTTATTTAAAGGAACAACTTTTCTACGGCCTCCATCTATGGACTGTTAGAGGATGAGTTTCTCATGCTGCCAAATTGCTAACTTCTAGGTTCTGGGACTCCTGGATAGGCACTGATTCCTGAAGCGTGATTCTAAATTAGTCTCCCCCCCCCATAAATATAACATTAATTCATTCTGTTAAATAGTACTTTCCCCTGTTTCTTCCAGGGAGATGACACTTTGCTTGTTCCTATCCACGGCTACCCTGCTATGAATGTTGTAGAATTTCCATCATATATAAGCTTATCAGATGTTTCACTGGGGCAGAGGTGAGTAAAGATGTCAGCCAATTTGGGTTTTGGTTTTTTTAGAGCCTGCAAAAATTAAAATATCTATTTTGTTTCTAAACAAACCTTAGAAGCCTTCATTAAGTCACCGACCATATAGGATGCAGCACCACTCCCATAGACTGTTTTCAAGAGTATGTTCATGAAAGACTGAAGTCTGCATAAACTAAACATCTGTAGAGACATAAGGCCAGAACCTCAGCTACTATCAATTGGCACTGATACATTTTTAATCTAACTTTGATTTATCTGTAAGAGTGAAATTCTCCCTATGCAGAAAATCAGCATATGTCTATGTACTACTTAAGATTTTGAGGATCTAGAAATTCATTGTAATGATCTGATCTATGTGCTGTTTTTGTACCAGTAGAACTATTTTGGTTATGAGTATGATTTTTTTTTAGCTGAAATAGTAATAATACCCTTACAACAGTAGACCAGTATATTCCACTTCCCATACAGGAATACATTATAACAGTATAAACCATTTTTATACCAGTACAGCTGCATTCACCCCTGTAGGGGTTTTGTGTCACTTTGCACTGGTCTGGTCAAAGGGTACAACTTTCTAATGTACATGAGTAGACCTCTGCAAATCTGCGGATATCTACTTTATATCCACAGATAACCACATCTGCAAATATGGATGTGGACATCCACAGCCCATTTTTGCAGATTCAGACACAGATACAAATTTTGTATTTAGAAACCTGTTAATTTGCAGATATCCGTTTTATATCTGTGGGTATCTGCATGATCGGTCCTAACCAATTGGCGGCCCCAGGCAAAAAAGCAAAAACAAAAAATCTGCTGGGGAAAATTTGTCGAACAAAAAAAAAAGGTCGGGGAGTAACCAGAGAAACTTGGATGGAGGAGTCCAGAGATCAGGCCCAAATGCGGTCACGGCCCTCCCCTAAGACCAGCTCTGTCGGTGGCCTCTTGAAAAACGCTCCCAATGACCCAAGTCGTAAGCAACTGTGTTATCGATTTTTGTGAATGAAAACTGAACAACAAATTCACATTAGTTATTTTCAGTTGTTAGAGATATTTTAAAAACACAGTTCAACTAAGCCCCCACATTTAGATTGGGTAAAAAATAAGCTTTAATAAAACCTAAGCCTAATAGAAATGTTTATATGATTTTTTTTTAATTCCAGTGGAAACAGGATGTAAAGTAAACACTCCACTCACTATTCTCAACTGAAGCCTTGCATCGTTGTGCTGGTGCATAACAAATGAGAAGCAAATGTGAAACTAGAGATAAATTGTTTAGTCTGTTCAGTGTCCAAGCTGAGGGAAACAGAAAAATTATTGTAAACATTGAAAAACAAATTAGAATGTAATATTTATTTCACTTTCAAGATATTATTTGTAGAAGAAAACATTTTTGTTCATATTTGTTTTTTAACCTAACAATGTCCTTTTAAAAACACCAAATGAATACAAAGCTGAAGGAAGCCTAGATGTCCCAAATTCCTAGCTATCCCTTTGTCAACAATTGTCCAAAACAATGGAAATGGGCATGGGCACGGGCAGGGCTTCTCACCAACAGGAACTTCTGTTCTCCAGGTGATACGAGAAAAAAAGCATTATTTAGTTCTGAACTATATCATGTTTTTTCCACTGAGAGAAAGGAGGCCTCTTGTCTGACATGTGGACTCTCTAACATGATTTTCCTTTTTCAGCCTGTACTTTGAACTGCAGCCAACATGTTGTGACAGCTCTGAGTTTGTTCCAGTAATAATTCATTGCCTGTAGTTCCTTCGTTAGAGACAGGTCATATTTACAGCAGTATAAAATATGTAACAGCGCTACCAGATTCTTGTTACTTATTTGCCTCTGAGCTGGAATAACAGATGTAGAGTAGGTAGGAGAATAGCATTCACTGATTCTGTCCTGTATAGGTTCTGACACCATCTTCAACCCAATAGCATCTGAGTGCTTTTCCACTATGCAACATACCTAACATATATTATGTGAAAGCTTCAGAGGGGTAGCAATCTGGTAGTACTTTAAAAACTAACAAAATATGTGGGTGGTATCATGAGCTTGGACAGATTTCTGTTTGTGTATCCAGTAGGGCTCTAAATTTGAATGTTAGTGCTTCCTAGATGGTACCATTTCTAAAACATACATGTGATGTCACACAAGAATAATTACCTTCTTAAAAATGAAACTAAGTAAATTTAAGTTATGTATAAGAGAAACTAAGAGTAGGAGATGGGGAGCAGCACACCAATTAAGGTCATATTTTACTCTTATTTTCTAATCCGAAAGGGTAGGCCTATAGGGTAGGCCTACATTGTAGGGCAAAAGTTGAATTAAGATATGCAACTTTAGCTATGTCAGTTGAGTAGCTAAAGTCGAAATAGCTTAATATGGCTTTTGGTGCTGTCTACACAGCAGGAAGTTGAAGGAAGAACACTCTTCCTTCGACTTCCATTACTCCTTGTGAAATGAGGGTACAGAAGTCGGAGTAAGAAGTCTTCCAGCTCAACATTATTTTGAAATAACCGCTTGCTATGTAAACGTGCTCTTTGTTGTTTCAAAATAAGGTCAGTTATTCTGAAGTAACACTGCTGTGTAGACATACCTAAGGTTTTCTAAAACAACTTAGTTGTGCAAGTATGGAAAACTACTATTATTTTTAATTAGGTAATCCATCTCTGTGACACCTGGAGAAAATATAATTTTCTAGATGTGAGCCTCTGGACAGTGATTCTCATTGCTATTTTGTTTTCTTTCATGAGTCTTCACTTCTTCCTTTGCAGCAAGAAGTATGTCGTCCCTTTACAGTGCAGCTGTCCAATTGATTTTGAATTCCAGATTGAGTACATTCAGCCTCATAAAGCCTTTACCGTTCAGCCAACCTCAGGTAGCCCACCTCTGTTTAAAGCTCTAAACATCCAAATAATTGTTCACTGAGTGCTATTATTTATGACTGTGTGCTCAGCGCTGTTCAGAAATGCACATAAAAAGATACAGTCTCCACCCCGAAAATATTTGCTGTTAAACCCATACTGTGCTGTTGAAACATAGTCCCATACACAGGTATAGAAAAATAAACAGGGAGCTTCAATGGAAGTTTGAACTCTTATGCCCCTAGTAGGTATCTTTCTTTTGTAGCATAAGTCCTTCAATTTTCTTTGGGCAATTTGGACATGGATAGGATTTGGAAGATTTGTCTACAGCAGTGTTTCCCAAATGGTGTTTCGCAGAACCATAGTGTTCCGCGAAGTGAAAATAAGGGTTCTGTGAGAAAATTCCATTACGATAACATTTTATGGTTTAAAAAAAATTGTGTTTTTTTAAATATGTGCAATTAAACTAAATATTGATCTCATGACCTTGTTTAGCATTTGTTTATTATTATCCTTATGTATTGGTGGTCTACTTTTTCAGCTCCATTTATTAGATTGTTATTAGGGGTCCCGCAAAATTCTTTCGAATTTAAAAGGGTTCCATGGCCAAATAAAATTGTGAAACACTGGTCTACAGCAAGTTTTCAGAGATGTTAATATTTTAGTGTAACACCACTAATTCCAATGTATAATTAGTTAGTCCTGGTCAAGAAATCTGGCCACTTATGAAGACCATGTACATGGCTTTTGATATTATTGATGATGGAGAGAGAGGAGGAGGGGGAAGGAGAGAGGGAGAGGGAACAAGCCATGCTTATCTTTGCTTCTTTAAAATATCAGAAAACACTATAATGATAGAAATGTAGCCATGTTAGTCTGGTGTAGCTGAAACAAAATACAGGACTATGTAGCACTTTAAAGACTAACAAGATGGTTTATTAGATGATGAGCTTTCGTGGGCCAGACCCACTTCCTGAGGGGAAGTTTCAGAAAACACTATGTTTGCCCAAAGGATCTGGAAAAGCTCAACACGATTATTAATATTCCAAGTCAGTAACAAAACTAGTCATCTGCATAATATACAAGGCTGCATCATGGAATGGCAGTGTAATTTAGAGCCACTTCAGCCCTTAGTATTTCTAGAGTAGTATAAAAGGGCATAACCGGGAATCGGGTATTATGGGTTTTACAGGAGACAATTGCTGGCTACACAGAATTTAGATGTCATTTAATTATATGTTTTCATGAATGTGGCTATGGAGAAGAGGAAGGCTGTTATAAGTCGGACAAAGATGACATAGGCTTAACTGTAGCATGAGGTTATACATACTGTGTGGTGCCTAGCGATGCAAATAGGCACCTAGTGGGATTTCAAAGAACACATACACGGATTAGATGTCCAACTCCCATTGAACTTCAATGGGACTCAGATGCCTAACTCACTTAGGAGCCTTTGTAAATCCCGCTGGGCACCTATGTGCATCTTTAGGCAGCTAAAGGTCTTTGTAAATCTGGCCCTAGGTGCCTAAGTCACTTTGAAAATGAGCCTTAGACTCCTAAGTCACTTAGGTGCTTTTGAAAAATGTAGTCATCTCCCTTTCTACTATAATATGAATGAGCCCTTTATACTATGATATGAATGAATCCTACATCTTGATGAATATCCAATTTAATACAACTCATAAATGGAAACAGTAAGGAGATACCACTCAACTCCTTCGAGTTAGACCATCTGAATCACGTGTAGCGTCACATCTACTGCTTTCAATTAGGCATTTAGGTAAGTTAGAGCTTCTCTTCTCTAAATGCACTACTTGAGGCTCCAACAAAAGAGCATTTTTTCTTTACTTAATTATCCATTTGTTTGTTGCATCTCTTCCCAGTGGAGAAAAGCATCATGTCAGACAAATGGGTATTGGAAATGTAACAGATGGTCTGTATTTGTTCCCAACGGTGCCGTGTAGAATAAATTCCAAGGGAATTAAACTGTTTTCCATTACTAGAACTAGATCCAAAATATGTGTTAGTTACAATATGACAGCAACAAAGCCTTGCTCTTCGAAATCCAGAGGGGCAGAGTCTGCTGCTCTCTCCTTGCAAATGGAAAAAATGAAAGTAGGAATAGGAGCTAAGTGGGCAGAGGCTCAGCTGGCGACTGAAAATTTTCATATAATAATTTTCAAATAACTTTAGCTCTTGCCTTGTAGAATGATAAAGGGGAACACCTTGCAAATTTAGGGACAGATTTTGATCACCTTGCCCATATTGAGTAGCACCCTACTCCTCAATTTACCTAATTACTCTTCAATACTAGCCAATTAGCCCATCATATGACGGGATTTTCAGGTCTCTCCTCGTCGGTCTTCTCTCCTGAGCCTCTGGTCTCTCGCTCCGTGTGTGTGTGTGTGTGTGTGTGTGTGTGTGTGTGTGTGTCTTTCTCTCTCCTCCTCCTATTGCCTCTCCTTCTCTCTCTCTCAGCTCTCCTCCCCCTCCTGCCTCTCCCTCTGTCTCTCTCTTTCTCTTCTCCTCTCCCTCCTGCCTCTCACTTGGGGGACTGCAGAGCCCAAACAGTCATTTGGGCACTGCGCTCCCCGTGCTGCATGGGGAGTGTGGATCCCATACGGTTGCTTGCGCCACTTGCTCCCACACGGCAGCCCAGCTGAGCGGCGCAGAAGTCAGCTGAGCCCCACTGTGGGAGCTAGTGTAGACATACCCATAAGGCTTCACTCCGCCACAAAATTAGGTCATGTTACGACATTCCTTGTGGAGTCATGTTAGACAACATGATGTTAAGCATGGTATAAATAGGGAGAACCCTGTTTAAGCATGGTGTCAGATGGACATATTTAACTCTGTTTCCAATAAGGCTTACCCATGAGCCTTGTAGGCATGAAAGTCTCTGTCTATCCCTGACTGCTAATTTATATTTAACATTTTAATTAACATGACTCCTAAAGGTCATGTTCTAATCTAACATGACTTAATTTCCCAGTAAATACCAGCCCTAAGTGTATTATAATCCCTGTATTTCTGACTTGCTCAGTATTAACTGTGAAATGGTTCTAAAAATTACTTGACTTGGATGGTTTTTCAGATAAAGCTAATCCTAGATTCTAGCATGTGTGTGGATGAAAAAGAAGACCCTTTTCTCTGTTGCCTTGTTTGGGTTATTCTTTCAGTGTTCTTGCTTTATTTCTGTCAGCTTGCAGGAAGTACCAATACCCATACCATATCAAAGGTGGAAAATGTTATAGATTGGCAAAATCAGGGATGGGATGGCTTGGGTTTAAACTTTGCAAATCTTCATCAACTTAATTTTGAGGCCAGCTGATTGGATCTGAGTATTACTATTTTATCCAGATCAACATTTCTGAATGGGCCGATCTCTGAAAAGGCAATGGTTGTGGAAGCAAATTGAAGTGCTAGAAGCATTTTATGAAACACTAGCACAGATAGCAAGGAATTTAGAACCATTGGAAGCAGAGAATGAATCCAACCCAGATGAATTCCCAGATCTGGGAAATAAAGAAGAAATCCATGTGTACCCCATTGCTTAAAACAGCAGCAATTGCCAGAGGACTTGAGAGTTGCAAATAGTAGTAAAGGTTTTTAAAAATGTAAATGATCTTTTGTCATTTTTGCAGAAGTTGTAAATTTTGCTATGGTAGTTGTGCCTCATCTCTCTATCATTTCAGGATATTGCTAGCTGACTGGGGATTGGCAGTTCTTGAAATAGATCCAGCCAAATGACCAACAATTATATTTTGTTGGGCAAATCAGTTGGCAAAATGCCTGAGATATTAAAGGCATCCAGCTTTACACAGAAGGGTTGAAATCCTGGCCACACTGACATCAATGTCAAAACTCCTATTGGCTTCAATGGAGTCAGGATTTAATGCAAGGGTATAAGAATTCCAACAGAGCGATAAAGACATGGGCCTACGTTTTCAGTAGTGAGTGGTGAATTGGTATTAGAGCACAGCACTTTCTGAAAATACAACTCCTTTCAAGCATCTCAGGCTATCCATCCAGATATTGGGCATCTGGATATTGGCACAACTGAATCACTTAAAAATGTGGAACAGGATCCATTTCAGCACACACGATTAGTCTTGATCAGAAGTAGAGTGCTCCTATGACTTCAGTATAAATGTAATGTATTTTGTTCCCATTTACAGGAATAATTCCCGGCAATGGGAAAGTGGATGTGGTTGTTAAATATGCACCATTTGAATATGGAACAGCACAGATGAAAATGCAGTTGAGGATTTCACAGTTTAACGCTCAACCCTATGTATGTGTATTCACAGGAACATCCACACCGAAAGGGGGTTTCATGTATGTGTGACTAATTTATCCTTGAATATTTTTGCCCATTTCTCTTTTAAAAATGCCTTCATAAAACAAGAGTTCATTGCTACATTGCCATGCCATTTAAATCGTATTATTCAAATGCACCAAGCATCTCGATAACACTTCATTCTGCTGAAAGTGCAGCTGGACTGCATTAAGTGAAACTTTAATGAATTAAAAATAACCTATTCCACTGCATATTGTTCCACCTATTGAGATGCAATCAGCACTCTAATCACAAGGCCTTCGGAATCAAGTGGGCAATAAGATATTTTGGAACATCTCTCATCCTTCCGAGGAATTGTGAAGTAGCAAGATTAGGTAGTTACATGCCCATTATTGTAATTTGAGAGACACCATCACAATCTTCTTGTATATCTAGAAGGCACATAAAGGCATGTGGTGGGCTCAGCTCACAGAACCCTGATTACAGTTGTGTCTTCTGAAATCTAGAAAGGAAGAATTCAAAACACAGAAAACTACCTCAGAGAAGAAAACAGTGTCACTAGGAAAACAGGTGGTACGGAGAAAAGACCATTTAAAGCCTCCACAATCCAGCCAAATTCAGAAAGTAAAGGTACACAGAACTGCTAACCAAAAGTACCTCCTGGGGCTGATACAATTCCTTTTACCTAAAGCTCACCCACACAATTTATTTCTTCCTATTAATTTTTATCCCACAGGAGATTGAATACCAAAACCTATGGTTCCCAGCAGATTTATCAAATCCCTATGCTGTGGCATCTGTTTTGATTCAAGAACCGGGCAAATTAAAGATTAAACACTTGAAAGAAGGTAACATAATGAAATGATCCAGAATAAAATAAACTTGTGGGCCTTGTTTTTAATTTCGAGTGGAACTCCATGACAATATGAGGTGGAGAGCTTGCGTTCAAAACTGATGGCATAATATGACCCTAAATTCTGAAGAAAGTGTCACCTTAATCTTGCTCTGTATTAATTGGATCAGTTGTTGCAGCAATCAGGTTTTCTCAGTTAAAAAAACCCAACATATTTTCATTTTGGACAGAATTCTGTTTAAATGTGGTAGAATAATTATCTTCTTTTGCCTACAGTCCTGTGCCAAGGTAATGAAGGTGCAAAAACAAGACAAATGAGGGAAGCTGTATTCGAACTAAAAGTCAAACAAGATACTATGGAAGAAGAAGCAAATCAGCTTAAGTGGTGAGAGTTAATTATACATTTTTTTATAAGACAGCAGTAAGATTGGTTTGAATATGACTTCTCTGAATCAAGGAAAGTTTATTCATGTTTGAAACCACCATTTCATATCATGCAACTTTAATTTATCAATAAGTTGCCTTTATTTTATACACATTCTTTTTCCTGAGAGGAATCTGATAAGTCGTTAGTAGTAGTAAGCAATCAGCATAGTGATTTTATTTTTACTGACATTTAGAAAGAAAGCTGTTGAAAAGAGTCTAGATTCTACTTCTATTGGCCCTCATCCTGTGCCAATAAAGTCAACGGGAGCTTCACTATTCACTTCAGTGTGAATCAAGCTCAAACAAAGTTAAACTAAGTCTTTAAAATACATGAGTAGTCCCATTTAAGGTAAAGGATTAGCTGTATAGAAGCCTGAAAAAGAGGAGACTTAGGTTCATTATCTTTTAAATAAAGCAAACAGCATGTTTTTTCAAGGATATTTCTCATCTCTTCTGCAAATGCAGGCAAGTTCATACAGGTAAAGATCCAATTTCAATGAAATTTAAGAAAGAGATAATCGAAGAACGACGGCAGGAAGAAGAGCAATACAAGGTTAGCCTTCACTGTTTATTCTGCAACTTTGAAATCCAATTTATATTTTTGGCCTAAATAAAACTGACTAATGAACTATTACTCTCATTAATAGTCTGCAATGGGACCTCTTGTGTACTTACATTACTCACATGTGTTTGCAGGTTCATGTCCTATCCTCAGGCATAAGCATCTGAACGAACACAAAAGAGAAACAGGAAGTAAAATGAGGCACACAACAATATAAAATCATGTTGCTTTATTAGCTATGTTCATCTTGTTGATTTCACTCTCTTTTTTGTAATATGTATTTGTTTAATACCGTCAAAGGTTTTATTTAAGCCAATTTAAGGAAACATAATTGAACATGAGATTAGGAGAAGATGGTCCTGAGCAAGGTTCCTTGTCTCACACAGGGGCTTATTCCAACAACTGTGCGGACACGCAGCTGACAAGGCACCTTGCATGGGAGAAGGCAGTGGGCCCAACTCACTTCCTTGATGCATGATCATGCAAGAGGCCTGGAGCCCCCAGCCCTAATCCTGAAAAGGGACCTATCCTCCCACGTCCTTACGCTCATGGAATTCAGGGGATGCTCCAGTGACTTAGTGTCTACAGAAGCAGAATTTGAGAATCATCAATGTTACTTTGTTTGACTTTCTAAAGTGCAGTGATCACCATCTCCCTGAAATGTACAAAGGCTGCATTTTGTCTGTCAGTTTCATTGTAGAATGTTATAGTTGTAATTAACTGTAAGTGATGAAAGAGCATATAGACTACATTGCACTAATGTGGACCTTCTTGCTGATGGCAAACTAGATCAAAAGAGGAGATCCTATTACAGAGAGAGAGTTTCAAAGGGATCAAGTGGAAGTTTCTTTCACACGTATTATCCGGTCTGTTGAACAGGTATGTCTACGTGTAATTCTTCATTATTACGCTAATACTGCATACCTAATTGTTCTGCATCGTTTGCTTTTGTTATTAATTTGAGAGCTCTAAAAATGTTTGTTTCATTTTCAGTTCTACTAAAGGAGCACTGTCTCAGATAGGACAGCACTGTGTATGAAACACTGAATGCGCAAATAAGCAGGCACATGCATCTGCTGTAAACCATATACTGCTGTTGCCATAAAGCAGGGGTGGGGAACCTCAGGCCGGGGACCGGATGCAGCCTTCAGCTTGCCTGATTCCTGCCCTCCGAGGCTCAACCTCCCCCCCACTAGCTTCCCCGTGGGCTCTGAAGTACACAAAATCTACTAGGCTGGGTCCCCCTAAGCTCTGGTGTGCAAGGGGAATAAGAGGAGGGTCTTTCTCCTGCTCATTTGGGAGCCACAGTGAGGGTTTTTTCCCGCTTCTTGAGTGCAGCCCAAGTTGTACTCTTGTAGGATCTACAGTAGTGTATCAGGCCAAATTCTGATCTCAGTTCCGCCAGTTTAAATCTGGAGTGAGGCCAAACCATCTTGCACTGAACTGAAAAGGCATTTTGTCACTGAGACCTGGTCTACACTGGGAGTTTAGGTTGAACATAGCCACATTAGGTCAAATTTGTAAACAGTGACTCCATATGACTAAGCCCACTCATCGACTTTAAGGGCTGTTAAAGTCGATTTTGGTACTCCTGCTTTTCATGAGGAGTAACGCAAAATTTGACCTTGCATGGTTGATTTTATGGTAGTGCAGACACAGCATTGTGAAAAATATCAGAGGGGTAGCTGTGCTAGTCTGAATCTGCAAAAGCGGCGAGGAGTCCTGTGGCACCTTATAGACTAACTGAAGTGTTGGAGCATAAGCTTTCGTGGGCAAAGACCCACTTCGTCAGATGCATCTGATGAAGTGGGTTTTTGCCCACGAAAGCTTATGCTCCAACACTTCAGTTAGTCTATAAGGTGCCACAGGACTCCTCGCCGCTTTTGCAGATTCAGACTAGCACAGCTACCCCTCTGATATTTTTCACAATGCTGTGTCTGCACTACCATAAAATCAACCATGCAAGGTCAAATTTTGCGTTACTCCTCATGAAAAGCAGGAGTACCAAAATCGACTTTAACAGCCCTTAAAGTCGATGAGTGGTGAAAGTTGAAGTTCTTAGCCTCAGAGTGATGGCCCACAGTGGCCCACAGTGACTGCTTGGCTAGGACTTTCAACTCTGTTGCTCTCCAGGTGAACAGAAAAAGCTCTGGGGACATTTGAATTTCATTTCCTGTGTGGCCAGCATGGCAAACAGACCTCAGAGAAGGCTGCATACCTGAGCAGCACACCTGGCCATGAGTTCCCAAGGTTGCAGACGATCACCAGTATGCAGGAGATCTTAGACATCATTTCTGTGTCAGGAGAGGAAGCTGTTCTTGGAGAACGCAGATTTCTATGCCAAGATTGCAAGGGGGAAGGAGAAATGAAACAGCAGGGAAACCCAGCAGTGCCACATGAATATAAAGGAGCTGAGGCAGTCATACCAGAAGACAAAGGAGGCAAATGGACAGTCTGGATCATCGCTGCAAATATTCCACTTCTATGAGCGGCTGCATGTGATCCTAGAGGGGCACTCAGCCCAGCTTCCCTAGCCAGCTCATAGATTCCTCCCAAGGCACTCCTCAGGCACCCTCAGGCAGCAGTATGGAGGACAGCATGGATGTGGAAGAGAAGGAGAAGAGTGTTTAACCACTGAGTGGGATAACCAATGTCAATGACAGCCAGGATCTTTTTATAACTTTTTATAACTCTCCTCCCAGGACTTCTCGTAGCTGGGCACTAATCCCAGGGAGGGTGCTTCTGGTGAGTTCACATTTTTCATCATGAAATTGGTTAAGGCAATTGGGTGTGACCTGTGGCAGCCACTGTGTCTGCACAGCAGGGGATCCCCAGAATAGCTTGTTAACATTTCTGGACACAGAGTGGGAATTCTCCCTGCTCATCTCCATAAAGCTCTCATAGAGGAATTCTTTCATCCTTCTCACAAGGTTTCTGAGGAGACCTAACTTATTCCATCCTCCACGGTAGGACATTTTCCCACCCCAAACCAGTAGTCAGTGGTCTGGAGCAGTGTTTCTCAGCCAGTGGTACGAATACCCTTAGGGGTACTCGAGAGAAGTCTGGGGGATACATCAACACAACCGAAATTTGGAGAAAATGGAATTTTTGTTTTAAGTTTTACAGAAGTTTAATATTTTTATACTTTTTACACCCAAAAATTTCATTGCCCGCCCAGCTACAATTAAGTTGTTTAAACAAATGTATTGCAATGGTAGAAAAACTTTTTGTGTATATGAAAACTGTAGGTACTGGGGATACTTACAGTTTTTTTTTTTTTTTTAAAAGAGGATACTTTATAAAAAAAAAAGGTTGAGAAACACTGGTCTGGCATCACTGCAGCATACGGTGCAGGTTTCTGGCCACCATCAGTCAGTATCTGTGTAATTTGGAGAAGATTGTTATCTCGCATGGCAACCTAGATGAAGCAGGGGAAGCTATTAGCACTATACTTCTATTTGCTCATCTCCAATGAAGCATGGTTTCAATTGCTGCCCTGTTCTGCCACTGCACACCCTCCCCCTCCAACCCACATAGACCCGCAGGAAGGGAAAGTTGCATTCCCCTGGCAAACAGGAGGTGCCAAACACATGGGTACTATGTTAGCCCCTGCCCTGCTGCCACACTAAAACCCTTACCCCCTCTTGCCCACATTGTCCTGTGGGAAGGGAACATTGCACTCTCCCCGAAAACAGGGAGTGGCAAACACACAGAACACCGTGTGATCCCCTATCCTGCCGCCATGGCCAGGCCTTGGCAGTCTTGAGCTCTGGCCTTTCTCCTACCATGCCTGCCACCAAACCTAGTCCAGCTGCTCCTCCAAGAACACTTTGGTGTACCTGCTGCATATTGGCTGCTTATAAGCGTAACTGTGGCCTTGTACATAACGCAGCCTTATGGTCTCTAGACGGAGCTTCCTTTTATTCTAACAGATTAGGTTTTACTCTTCACAATGTATCTCCTGAGAAGTCTGGCCTTCACTTTTTGTTACAGCAGGAACAGCAGCGAGTATGCTACACACTCTCCCAGCTATGTCAGGTGTCCAGCTGGCACAAATCCACAGGTGAAAACCGACTACTGATGGCATGTTCAAGGAGCAAATGCAGTCTGCCCACTTGGACAGGGAGCATGTAAGCAAGTGGAGGAATACGCTGCTCCTGGAGAGGAAAGTGGAGTGTGAGGACAGAAGAGCATGCGGGGAGCTGAACATGAAGAACCAGGAGAGAGTCTTGAAGACCATGGAGATGCGATGAACCTGCATGGTGGCCTTCCAGTACGGCTGCATGCACAAACACCCCTCCTGCCCTTGCAGAACCACATTCCCTCCTCACTGAGCTCCATAGCTTCCTCTCTCAAAAGCCCTGCAAGTTGGAGGGGGTGGGATATCAAGGGCAGCCTCACACTCAACTCCCAGAGGGATGTGTCCCTACACAAAAGGCTGTCCTCACAATTATGATCCCTCCAAGCTCTCAACATGAACTCCTTTTCTTTCCCTGCTGTGTGCCCTAAATAATAGTGCATGATTTCTGAACAACAGTCTCTTGATAACTTGTGTTGAAACAGGGATTTACTAAATGCACAGACACCTCGTTGAGAGCAACTTTCATGACTCTCAGATCTGGCCATTCATAAAATTGACTTTTAAAGTGTCATGGGGTAACACACTCATCTCTATCCCCGGGGCAGGGAAGCTGTCGCATCTCTGGGGATTCTTGGAACCACGTCCAACCCTGCATGTCCTGGAACTCTCATGCAGTTCTACATTCACACCCCACTGGGGGAAGTGCGGCCTAGCAGCCAAAGTCATTAATAAGCAGGTGCAGGACCCATGTATTGGGGGACTGAGGAGGTGGTAGGGGGACCTGAGTTCTCCCTACTCCACTGGGTCCCAGCCCATGCCCCTATTAGCAGTGGCACAGGCCACTGCTTGCTCAGCAGGGACTCATTTCCCGCCCCAGGCTACTTCCTACAATTCTCCACTGACCTCTTTCTCCAGATCCTCTCCCGCGGCCCTGGTGTCTTGCAGGCTGGTCTCCAGGTCTGATACCTCTGGCGGTTTGCCTGCAGGAGCTCTGGCCATGCCTCCTTCCTCCTCAGCAGCCAGCCCAGACTGAGCCTGTCTCCAGGCCTGTATACCTGAGCTGTAGTACAAGCTTGCCCAGCAGGGTCGCGGGGGCAGGACTTCCTCAACCAGGTGAGCCTGGTTAGGCCCAGCTTCTCCAGTGTGGGACTGGTACGCCCCACCACACAAAGCCTCTCTGATTGGCTTTGCCCCTCACTGTACTCTCCTTATTCACCTGGGGTCTGGCTGCTCATAATCACTAACTAGGTGCTGTGCCTCGACCCCCCACTCCGCCACTTTCCCCCTTGCTCTCACAAATATGGAACACACATCAGGCTGCCACTACAATGGAAATGTTGCATTCACTGAAGTCTAACCTAGTCAGTAGACAGCAGAACCTTCCCTTTAAATGCCCAAAAGCGCTTTCTGCCACCTTTCTGCACTTTGCTCAGCCTGTAGTTGAACTGCTCCTTACTGCAGTCTAGGCTGCCGGTATCATCTTCATGAGCCACAGGAACAAAGGGGTAGGCTGAGTCACCAAGGATGGCTATTGGCATTTCAATGCCTCCTATGTTAATTTTCTGGTCCGGGAAGAAAGTTCCAGATTGCAACTTTCTGAAGAGGCAGGAGTTCCTAAAGATGTGTGTGGCATGTATCTTTCCCAACCATTTCCTATTGATGTCAGTGGAACAGCCCTTGTGATCCACCAGCGCCTGTATCAAGAGGTACCGCTTGTGGTTTATGTACTCTTCAGCAAGGTATGCCTTGCTGGGGATGTGCATTTCATCTGGCACCCCACCGGAGCCCTCCACTATGTCTTCCACATTTCCCAGAGTCACTACCCTCCGTAGCAGCAGGGTATTGATTGCTTTGGCTACTTGTATCACAACAGCCCCACTGAAGATTTCCCCACTCCGTATTGATTCGCAACTGACCGATATCTCTATGGCATTGCAAACTTCCACAGGGAAATTGCCACTCGCTTCTCCTTTGTCAGAGTGGGTCTCATTCTGGTATTTCTGAGCTTCAGGGCAGGGGAAAGCAATGTGTAAACTTCCATGAAAGTGCCTTACGCATGTGAAAGTTTGGCAGACATTTCTGATCATCCCATATCTGCATAACTATGTGGTCCCACTAGTCTGTGCTTGTCTGACAGCATCGGAACCAGCATTCCACTATGTCCAGAGGATCGAATGCTGGCAGCATTTGCCAGTCACTCAACTCAAGTGCTTTGCAAAAGAGTTTGTTCATGGCCTCCTGAGATTCTTCCTTGTTCCAGCAGACTCTGGATCCCTCTGGATATACTCCAGCATAAAGCTCCCCATGGTTAATATGATTGCCATAATGCTTTGATGCTCAAGGGATCCACAATGGGTTCCGTGCTTACGCTGCTGTAGCACCTGTGTGGATAACCAGGGGGAAAGGGTGCAAAGAGACTTGTTTACCATTGCTTTCAAGCAGGAAGGAGGGAGGAGAAAAGTGCATTATGGGACGCTGACATGTACCCAGAACCACCCGCTGCACAGTTTTGGTCCCAGCGTGCCCTGGGAGTATAACTCAGAATGCCAAGGGGTGCAGGAACTGTGGGACAGTGCATCGCTTTCAAAGTCAGTGGTAGCCACCCTACTGGGGATGCGCTACATCAAGCTGCATCCAATTATTTTGCACAGTAGGAACATGCACCTTCAACTTTACAAAATCAGTTGCTAAAAAAATCAACCTTAATAAATTTGACTTTATTTCATGAGGTAGACATGGCCTGATTTCAACGACACCAGGTTTTGGCTCTAACATCGGTAAGGTAAATTATGTTAGTTTAGATTTACACAGTTGCAAGGAGCTCTGGATGTGACTAGTTATCTTTACTCCTGTTCTACCACTAATTGATCACATTTATGTAGTGTTCATACCTTACTTCAATGGAGTTAACTTCAGGTTTAGACTAGCACAACAGGAGAATATATTGTGTCTCTGAATATTTAACAATAGCTTCCCAATGGACCCATAAATGAAGATTTCGATTGAAAAACTGATGGAGTGATATGGCCTAGGAACAGAATTAGTTTATTATTTGGCTAGACATTTTACCTGGTATAATCTCAATGCTAGAAAACAGTGGGTGGGTTCAGTCCATGGAATGACTGCTAAATATTCCTCCACTGTCTAATTTAAACAATTAAAACCTACATTTTCACTTTTTGTGTGTTGTGCAGTGTCCAAGTGTCCAGCCCAAGTTTGACCTCCTCCTTAATGACCCTTGGGAAAACAGACACCGGATTTTAAGACGGTTTCAGCAAGCAGCTCGCAAGGTAATGTAAATGAAATGCAGTATTAACAACATGTCTTAGAAAACCCACAATAAAACACATACACTTATTTTGCCATCTTCAAGGAACCTACACTCTTAGCCAGTTGGCTTCATTGTTTGTCATAGATATGTTACAGCCTTTCCAGAAAAAAACACTTCAATTCTTCTGTTCGATCTTCTATTTTATATGTGAATGTCACATTTAGCTAGTCTTTAGTCCAAATATTATGCAGCTAGTGCATGTGTAACCCACACACCTACTGGGTGGGTTCACTGTCCCGTGTAGTAGCAATTCGACTACTTACAAAGACAAAGAATGAGTCTCCTCTGCAGCCGTAGCTGAAAGCCAAGTGATTTTTAGCTCAACCTGTAGAGGCTCATGCACTAAGCTCCAGAGGTCCCAGGTTTGGTTCTGCCTGTCCGTATTACACATGCATGCTGCCACACTTCCCAAAAAGCAAATAAAAATACCCTAGGACAAAAATTATGCAGCATATCAAAAAACTCTTTGCAGTCCAAGTGACCTCTGGAATAAATAAACCTGCCGGTACTGGATATCAATATAAATAAAAATAGTAGAGTATTCAATTAATATTAAATTGAAAACTTTAAATAATTATTGTAGGTCCTGATTCAGTGGCGGCTAAATCGTGTATTACTTTTGTTTCGTGAACTAACGGGAGATGTCAAAAGGCAAAGCAATGAAGAAAGCTCTGTATCAGGTAAAGTTTAGGACAAGACATTTGCATTTTGGCTAAGCACAGTGTATTGTGGTTATTCTGATAGCACTGACAAGATTTTAGATACAACACACACACAAAGACAACCCCATTCAAAGAGCTTGCAATCAAAAAGTATAGGAATGTGATGGGGACTGGAAATAGCCACAGTCAAAATATGTACGATTTTGAGACACATAATATGTATGCATTAAAAAAAATCTCTTAACTATTCTTGAGAGCCTCGAAGCTTAGCCTGTGTTAGTTGGGCAATTATTAATCAGATACAGATACACTATTTAATGACAGTAGACATTGAGATTCAAAAAAGTTAAAGTTTTATAAATGTTCAAATGTCATCGCAGGTCAAAAGTAAATACGCTTAAATCAAACTAATATATTTTCAATCAACATTTTTTCTTTCTCCTAGCTGTATATTTAAAACATTATTGATGGAAATATTTCTGTCAGTTTGTAGTTGGTGAAACTGATGTTTACCAACATTTACCTATAAAAATCTAATGCTTCTAAGACTACTTTTAAAAGTGGTTTCTAAAGCCCCTATGAAATAATAATACTTTATGATTTATATCAAAATGGCTGAGCAAATCTTGACCTAGGAAGAAATTAAAGTCTGTGTTGTGTTTGGGCTTTATTTTTTTTGAGAGAATATCTTACAGTTATTATAATTCATTTATCCTGATTCTTTCTCTCCACATAGCAGAAAACAGCAGTTTGAAAACCATCAGTCCAAGAGCTATGAGTGAAGAACAGAAGAGTGTCACTTTCAACCTATCTGTAGATCGCATATTACCTTTCACATTCCCGGCCTACTACCCGCCTCAGTGGTCTGATGAACTGGTACGTCCCATGCTACCACTGGTAACAAATCAATTACTAGAAATGAAGTGTCTGATTCTCATTTACACTAAGGCCACTTTACCGCACTCTGAAGGAGCAAACGGCAAAGTGAATGCTCAGAGTAAAATAAAATAGTATTAGCTTGAAAGGTTGGATTCAGATTTTCAGGCTGTAGCTGAAGTTCCGTTGATGTTTATGGAACTGTGACAATTTACACCTGTTTCTGAGGGGTAGCCAAGTTAGTTTGTACACTGTTCTCAAACTTTGTGATACCGTGACCCCCCTCTAAGTTGCTCACGACCCCCCTCTAAGTTGCTCATGATCCCCCAGGGATTTGGGACGCACAGCTTGAGAAAGGCGGCTGGCTGTACAGGATAAACTTAAAAAACAACAAATAATATGATAGCACTTTAAAGACCATCTACGTGTTTTGCTAGTCTTTAAAGTGCTACCATACTATTTGTTCTTTTTTAAGTTTACAATTTACACCAGCTTAGGATCTGGACTTTGAAGTATAAACACCATTGTATTAGTTCTGTTATACCAGATACCATGCTCTTTATATAAACCCATAAGACTTTACAAATGTATGAAGGCAAGGTCCCTGCCCCAGTCATCTGGTTAAAGACTATTATTCCTCAACATGTTTTGAATTTACATTCAGTAGACAGGTGGCTACTGAAAATACTTAAGAATATTGGTATTACTTAGTAACACACCTTAGACTTGTTTGCTATGAAGAATGACTCCCCACATTGTAGAAGAGTCAGTGCATCCTTAATAACAAACAAGACATTTCCCTTTCTCATATTAATTTTTTACCTCAAACAGGAAGAGATCTCTAAAGGCAAGTGCTCTTTAAAGAGCTCTGCTCTAAGACCATGTGTTTTGTATTTGAAAACTATATGGTTCAACAAGTCTGTAGCACCACTCCAGATATCCTTGCAATACATGATCATTGTATGGATTTACACCAGTGGTCACCAAACTTTTCACATCACGCCCTCCCTTACCCCTGTCCACCCAGACCCAGGAACCAGGATTGGGAATGGAGCTGCAGCTTGGGGGAGCAAAGGCTGGGCCCAGGAGCAGAGCCACAGCCAGGAGCCGAAGCTGGGAGCTGAGGCTGGGGCTTGGACTGGGAGCCAAGGTCATCGCTGGGGACAAGGTGGGGCTGCCATGCCCTTATGAATGTCACACCCCACACTTTGGGGACCACTGGTTTACACACTGCATATGAACCAGAGGTTTCAGACCATCTGCAACTTCTGTTTATCACCTGGTTTTGTTCATCATCTGAGGGGTCCCTTAAGACAGGTTTCACTGTGTAAGATTCTTTCAAGATTACTGTAAGGATCCCATTGACCTCACTGAGATTTGCAACTTTATAAGTGAGGGCAGAAGTGGGCTTGGAGCCTTTTTTTCCATTTGAAGAGTAGTTGAAGACATGCCCTTTATTCTGAATTGCTGCAGAGGGACAGATGCAGAAAAACCATACAAATGGAGTCCTCATGCTCATAATGATCAGGATTCCTCCAGAGCAGAGACTGATCTTGCAGGGTGCATGGGATAAGAGATACACAACAACATCATATGAAGAAATAGATTATCTCTCATGTCGATATAGATTAATCCCCGTGTACAGAATCAATGGAGTAGGGAGACAATCTAACAGGATACGTAGGGTGCATCTACACAGCGGTGCTAGCTTGAAATAAGGTACGCCGTTTGAGCTACATACATTGCATAGCTTATTTTGAGATAGTCTATTTCAAAATTAATTTCAAAATAGACCATTATTCCGACAAGTCCCTTAATCCTCATGGAACGAGGTTTACTGGGATGGTGTAATAGCAAAACGGTTATTTCAATTGCATTTTGAAATAATGGGTGTGCTGTTAAGATGTGGAAAACACTATTTCAGGATAGCTGATGTATCCCAAAATCATGCCACTGTCTAGATGCACCCTCATTAATGATGAAGCCCAACTCTTATATAGCATTCTTCATCGGTAGATCTCAAAGTGCTCTAGAAAGGAAGTTAGTGTCTTTATCCCAGTTTTACAGATGGGGAAAAGGAGGCACAGAGAGGCAAAGTGACATGCCCAAAGTCACCTGGCAGGCCAGTGCAAGAGCCAGGAATAGAATGCACATCTCCTAAAACCTGTCCAGTGCTCTATCCATTAGGAAACGTGGCTTCCCTTCTAGATGCTGCAGTGAGTGATAGTTGTCTTACAAATGGCTGTACTAATGGCCTAAAAGCCTGATACAGTCAGACAAAGACATAATCAGGTATGTGGCCAATCTTGTTGCTGGTTTCCCTAGCCTACTGAGCTAAAGCCCAAAGGATCTTTCACTTCCAGGAGAACATCTAAGCACCCACCTGAGCTGATATCCATTGTACATTGAAATCCCTACAATCAATAATCCATGAGGTTTCCAACAGCAATGCAGGTACCAGCTCAGAGAACTCACCAGATATATCATGGTGGCTATATGAGAACAATAAAATACCAAATACTGTTAATTCAGACATTAGTTGTATTATAAGAATAGGCAAAATAGTGAAAAAACAAAGTGTTACATTTTATTTACTGCCCTTTACTGTCCTCATGTTCATAATAATGCAGTGATGACTGCTGGTTGAAATTTGATTTTTTTCCCCATGGAAAAATATATTCATTAAAATTTCAACTACCCAAGAAGAAAATGCTGACAAAATGTTTTCCAATTTCTTTCTCTGTTTTTTCTAACTAGTTGTATGGATGACTTATTTCAGCTGAAAAAAAATGTGCAGTATATTGTTGTGTCTTGAAATACTTTAATGTTTTAGGCTCCCGATGGTCTTGGTCCAGTTCCTGTCAAGCCTATAGACATGAAAGTCAAGCACGTTCACCCGTTCTATGATTTAAAGGTGAGACAGTACAGCTTAGTCACTCACCTATGTCATATTGCTTTCTTTCATTAGGGACAGTGTGACAAAAGATATACAGTATCACATTTTGTATATGAAGGAGTAGACCCTGTTGCTTAGGTCAATAGGAGTAATGACTGTGGGATTTGCCTTTTGTTAGCTCCCTCAGGGCACGTCTACACAGCAGGGCTAAAGCTGAAATATGCTAAGCACCCTAAGTCGAAATCGCTTATTCTGGCTTTTGGAACTGTTGTCTACTCAACAGGAAGTCCAAGAAAGTGCACTTTTCTTCCAAATTCTCTTACTTGTCATAAAATGAGGGTTACAGGAGTTGGAGTAAAAAGTCCTCTAGCTCATCATTATTTCAACATTATGTTGAAATAACTGCTTTCTGTGTAGACATGGACTCTTTTATTTTGGAATAATCTCAGTTATTCTGAAATAACGCTACTGTGTAGACATACCACAAATGAGCCCACACATTACCAGAGAGTGAGCAATGGGGGTAATGCAGAAGTATACCATCCTAGTATGATGTGGTCTTCAGCAGTTTGGTGAGCACATGTACTGACAGCGAATATGGAGAATCTCAACCTGCAAACCCTTACCATTACAAACAGATTTCTACTGATACAGCTGCTATGGTTTCTTAGGCCTTGCCTACACTTACTGCGAGATTGGCTCTGCAGAGATTGATTTCCTGGAGGTTGATTTAGCAGGTCTAGTAGAGATCTGCTGAATTGACTTCTCAGTGCGCTCCTGTTGATTCTAATCCTCAACCGGGTTGAGAAGAGTAAGGGGAGTCAACAGGAGAGTTTCTCCTGTTGACTCCCTGCAGTGGGGAAACCACAGTAACTCAAGCTAAGGTACCTCGACTCTAGCTATGCTATTCATGTAGCTGGAGTTGCGTACCTTAGTTCAACATTGCCCCCTAGTGTAGACCTGGCCTCACACAGGACTACTTACATGGGTAAGAGCTAGTGACTTAGTGACATAGTAAGGGTTTGCAGGTTGAGACTCTCCATATTCGCTGTCAGTCCATGTGCTCACCAAACTGCTGAAGACCACATCATAAATATAAGGTTCTGCTTCTCCAGGGAAAAGTGTCTCCAGTCTTCTGCTCTCTCAGCTTCCTAAATCATGAGGCTGAAGACTGCCTTTGAGAAAAGATATGATTTAGACTGATAAGTCTTTTGATCTAAGGGGCCCAATCTCACATTTCTCACATATTTGCTATGCACTGAATTAAAGAATTGAGCATGTAAGGAATGTAGGATCTGAGCCCCCAAAGCAAATACCAGTTTCCCTCGATAAAAATTACAAAAACTAAAGATGTGATTTTTTTCTATGTACTGTAGAATATCCTGTGTATTCCATCAATTTAGATTGTAAATACATATTCATGTATGTCTCCATCTTCAACTACATCATAGTGGTTTTCAAGCTTTGTGAATCCAGAACCTATTTTTACGTTCTGACATCTAACCCCCTTTTCCTTCAAAATTTAGAAAATGAAAAAGGCCAAATTCTGTCACCCTCTAAAGTCAGGAGATTCCACTGGGCTTAAATCAGTGCTGAATTTGATCTTGTCCTTGTTTTGTTGATTGCAACAAGCATAGGCTTTGTCTATACTGGCATGTTTTGTTGCCAAAAACTATCTTTTGGCGACAAGACAATGAGAGCGTTCACACTACAATACAACTTTGGACAGGAAAAACACCCAGTTTTGGCAACAAAGCCCTGTGAGAGACTTTTGTCTTTTCCCCTCCCTCTATTTTTGACAAAGAGCCAGTGTAGGCTCTGCTGTTTGTTTTGTCAAGAGAACTGTCTTCCGCCAGTATCCCACAATGCCTGCCTTGGTGGCTCTGCTCAGTGTTTTGTGATCTCTGCTGCCCTTTAGGCATATGCCCCTCCCGTCTCAAAGCTACAGGAAGTATCTGACAGCGGAGTGAGCTGCTCCGTTTGGGGAACAAAGAAAGAGCAAATAATTGGAATGCTGCTGTTCTGCCCTGCTAGAAGGGGAAGGCTGGAGAGACTGCTGTGCTGCTTTGACATTCCTCAGCATGGAGAGTTTAAAGAACTACTCATGATGCACTTCCAGCAGCTGAGACGGCTGTGGGAGAATGCAGAAGGAATCTCAAGAAGCACAGGGATTAGCTCTCCCTTCCCACAACACTGCTTTGCACTATCTGTTGACAGGGAAGCTAACAATGTGGCCATGAAATGTTGACAATGAGAGGCAGAAAAAACAGTTTAACCAGTTTTTACTTTTTCCAACTTTTGCATGTCGAAAGCACTTTTGTTGCCAAACCTTCCCAGTGTTGACATAGCCATAGAAGCAACATTGCTTTAAAGGAGCTCTTAACTATTTTTCCTGTGTGTACTTTTGCCGCCATTCCATTTTATTTTCACATACCCGTGTTACATGTATTACGCAAAGAGCCCATCAATTTCATTCTGTTTATGCAAAACAGTATTACTTCACACATGATGCTGTGCAGAAAACATCTATAGTGAAAACATTCCTTCACAGATTCATTTGCCAGGATAGGGCTTTTAAAAATTCCTGGCCAAAGTTTTTGTCACATGTCATTGTCACTAAATGTTGGTCCAAGCATCTATTACAGAAAGAGACCTTGTGAAGTATTCATCTTAGAGCTGGAAAGTTAGAACACACTGACCTCTACATGCATGTATTGTAACAAATCATTTTCATTTGTACCTAGGTTCCTCAGCACTTCAGCATTATGAGGTACCAGCCATTTTGCACACACCATGCATCGACAAGTTACAAACCTCAGAAACTTTCCCGACCACTAAAGCAGGGAGCTGAGGTAAAATGTCCATGATTTGGTTTCATGTTGTTACAGTGTTTTTTACACCAAAGCTCCCTCTGTACTCTGATAACATTTGTCTTCCAACTTGTTCCAGGATGAGCTGATCTCAGTAGTAACTTCTCCAGAGCCACAGCTCAGTCCTCCCTCACCCCCAGGGGATCTACACAAACACCCCGGAGAGAAATCCCTGGAAAGGGTCACAGGACTTTTAAACCTGGCAGCTCCCAAAGCGTTACTCCAGCCTCCAGACAGTCACCCACTTCGCATATTTGTAAGTAAAATTCCATTCTAGTAAAACCTCCACATAGTGGAGGGAAATGTACCTTGCTTCATTACGGGGTTGGGAAGGAATTACCTTCCCAATTACTTTCCTTAGGTTTATAGATACAAAGTGTGTGCCACAGGCCTAGAGAGCAGGGAGCAACAGGTAAGTGCTGAATGGCATTCAGAGCCCCCGCAGCATGTACCACACCACACTCTGTAAGAACATAAGAACGGCCATACTGGGTCAGACCAAAGCTCCATCCAGCCCAGCATCCTGTCTGCCGACAGTGGCCAATACCAGATGCCCCAGAGAAGAGGGAACACAACAGATAATCCTCACATGACCCCTCTCCTGTCACCCATTTCCAGACAAACAGAAGCTAAGGGCTCTGTCACACTTGCATGCCAGTCCTCATCTGCATATCAGCACAGTTCAAAATGGCTGGCAGGTCCCTTCCCTGGTGAGGTGGGGGCGTGAGACTTCACGTGTTCCCCCGCCCCAGGCCCTGATTGGCTTGAGGGAAGGGGGAGTGTGTGTTGTCTCCTCCCCCTGTCAGGGGCGCGTGGCGCTTAGAGGAAACCACCAGCTGTTCAAAATGGCTGGTGGTTCTCTCTAGGTGCTGTGAACCCCTGGCAGGCTGAGTGTGGGGGGCAAAGGCTTCATGTGCTCCCCCACCTCTATGCCCTGATTGGCCTGGGGGCGGGGGAGCGTGTGAAGTCTCTTCCTCTCACCAGGGGCAAGCCGCACCTAGAGGGAATAACCTAGAGGGAATAACCCCCTTCCAAAGTCCCACCCCTTCTGCCCAAGACCCTGCCCTTTCAGGAGGTGGCCCGCAACCACTTCCAAGATTTGTGAAATGGCTCCCTAGCAAAAATTATTGCCCACCCCTGATCTAGATGGTGCTTGGCCCTGTTGTGAGGGCAGGGGACTGGCCTTGATGGCCTTGATGACATCTCGAGGTACCTTTCTATTCTAGTATTTTATGATTCCATGATGCTAAGATTAATGGGATTTTTAAAAGTGCCTAACACCCATTGAAATCAGTAGGCCAGGAGTGGTCCTGGGTCGTGTTTTTTGCTAGTTGTGTTTCAGAGGGGATCATAGGACAGACGTAGACCTGGGGTAGAGGGAAGGAAGGAGAGGTGAGGTGTTGAGTTGAACAAGGGCGGAAAAGTGAGATCAAGGTGGTGTGGAGTTTGCCTGGTCTTATTACAGTAAAACTCCAATTGTCCGGCATCCAGTGGTCCGGCACTCCCGATAGTCCGGCACCAACTGGAACCCGGAAGTGCTCTGGCCAGCTGGACAATTGGAGCTGCTCCGTGCCGCTTCCCCAAGTCCACCGCTGCCGCAGCTGAAACTGATGAGCGGCGGACTTGGGGAAGCTGCAGAGCAGAGCAGATGGGGTGCTGACAGGTTGGTCCCACAGCACCGCCCCTCACCCCTCTGCTCAGGGATAACTACTGCAGTCTGGGGTGTGAGAAGCCCGCTCCCCTCCCCTCCCAGAAACTCTTGGCAGCGGCATGGGGCTTCCCCCGCCTTCCTGCAATGACAGAGAGTTCGCCCCTTGCCGCGCCATTCCCCGCCCACCACCTGGATGCAGTGCGGGTCCGGCAAACCCGTCACAGCCCCCTGCCAGAGTACCTCCCGATACTCCGGCATATCCAATAATCCGGCAACATCTTGGTCCCAAAAGTGCCGGATTATCGGAAGTCTATTGTAGTAACAAGAACTGAATTTTTTCACTTGCAGATTTCCTCAAAGGGCTCATAATTATTTTTTGGAACTCTCTTTCTCTTGTCTGTTTTCAGAATCCTACTCCAGGACTGTACGTCTTTCTGCAGCCTTTGGACTATTCAGAAACAAACATTGAATATCATCTTTGTCCTCATCCAAAATATAAATTCACCAAAGAATATCCCACAGGATCCAGCATCCCAATTACACAAAAGAAATTTCTGCATCACAAGGTACAGCTTTTGGTTTCAGTGAAATATTTGCTGCAAAAGGTATAAGTTGGCGGAGAATTTGCCTTGTAGACTCTAAAAGAACATAAACGCTTATCCTCAAGGGAAGCTGTGTTAAGCTCTGATTGGCTTATGCTGCTGCAGGTAAATGTGGTTGTTCACTGGATGCACCTTGTGCTTCCCAGGGCTTCTCCGTGTCTTTTCTTCAGCAGCCGTGAAGCTCTCCTCCCTGTTTCTCTTTAAACCTTCAACTGCATCTTCAGAGCCCTGTGCTAGAGCCAGTAGCTTTTCAGGCGAAGAGAACTGAAGCTTAGTAAACACAGGCCTGTCAACGGGGGATGGCAGGGGACAAAAAGGGCTGTTGCCCGGAGCTGGGTGATTCAAAGAGGGCCAGGGCTCTCACTGTCACTGCTGTTACTGCCCTGGGACCCTTTAAATTACCGCCCAGGCTCTGAGAGCTGGGGGAAGGGAGGGCAGCACCATGCTCCAGGCAGCGCTGAGGGCCCACAGTCCCATCCCTGGTGCCTGAGGCACTAGCCCTTTCTAGGACGCAGAGCTGGCCCCACACATACCTGGCCTGGGAACTTGTGGAAGCTGTCAGCTGCCTGGATAACACATGCTTTCATCAAGCAAAGCAAGGCATTCCCCACCCTCCGCTCTCTTTACAGCATTGCATTTCACGGGCATGGCACTGTTGTCGTTTCAGGAAGTCATTCGAGGAGTAACATACTGGAGACGATTCCCATCAGTGGTTTATTCAGCCTTGTCTAATGCTCCCTCTCTGACAAGCACAATGATGCCTCATTGGTAAGAAAGAGTTTGAACATACAACACCTTCCCTCCAGGCCAGATTCTGTCGCCTTTCCTCCTATCGACCAGAAACCAGCTCCACATATTGTCCCAGGGAAACGGGGGAACAAGGCGTAGAGTAAATTACTACTCACTGGGTCCAATCCGTTGAAGCCAGTGAGCAGTGGATCAGGCTCAGGGTGAGTAAGGGGGGCAGAATCTAGCAGTATAAGTGGCATTTCAGTCTAATAAGAGCTGACCTTATGCCCAGACACTTCGGGGAGGCCCTAGCAACTCAGCTCAGCATATCCTGCTTGTGTGAGGGTGCCAGCAGGACACATGACAGGCCCAGGCATCTGACTGTAATATCATTCCCCCTCTCCCTTCCACTGCCAGCTTTGCTTCTTTACTCATCCTGCTCCCACAGTCCTTGCTCAGCAGAGGGAAAGAAGTAGCACTTAGGCCTCAATTCAAAACATACTTGAATCCATCCCTGTTCATCAGGGCCCTGACCAGAAGCCCACTGAAATCAATGGGAGCTTTTTAATCATATGCTCAAGTACGTACTTAACTCCCCTTGAAGTCAGCGAAGTATAACTAGGTGCATACAATTAGCACGTGCTTCAGTGCTTTGCTGAACTGAGAACATAGTGCCTGCTACAAGTGTCTGCATTAGCAGTGTAAAACACTCAGGCTGTGTCTACACTGCACCCCTTTTTCGGAAAAGGGGTGCAGATGAGACAAGTCGGAATTGCAAATGAAGCGGGGGAGAACATGGATTTTTGTTTAATAGTATAAAAACAGACAAGTCTGGGCCAGTAGCCTTTTAGATCTTTCGGAAAATAAAGCCTTTTCGTAAAGGTCCCTTATTCCTCTTAAAATCAGGAATAAGGGACCTTTCGGAAAAGGCTTTATTTTCCAAAAGATCCCCATCTAGACTGGCACTTTTATCCGGCAAAGCCCCGAGCCGTAAAAAAGCGGCAGCCATGTTTATACAAATGAAGCAGGGGATATTTAAATCCCCCGCTTCATTTGCAATTCCGACTTGTCTCATCTGCATCCCTTTTCTGGAAAAGGGGTGCAGTGTAGACACAGCCTCAGAGCTGAATGAAAACCTTCCTGTGACCATTTCAATACCTGATGGTAGGTAGGTACCTATGCAGATATGCAGGCACCTAAACAAATGGCCTGACCTTCACAAGTGCTGAGCATCCAATCACTGCTGCCCGGATGCAGCAGCCCAGCCCCAGCCAGGTAAAGTAATCTGGCCCCTGACCCCCCACATACTCTACTTACCACCCCCAGCGCCCTTCCCTGCCTCCTGTCCCACACTCCAACCCCCTGCCCTGAACCCTTCATACACCCCGACTAGTGTTCCCTCTGAAGTGCGCTCACCAAGAATTTGCAGATGAGCAGTTACTTTGAACATCACACTACTTAGTTAAGTGTCTAAACACGCACCCTGGTGCCTAACTATCAATTTTGGACCTAAAACTTTAAAGAACAAAACTGTGCTTTGCTGACTTGTGTATCTATAGATAGCTGATGTATGTGCTTTCCAAAGTATCTGAATTTTCCAGAATCTGAAGATCCCTTGAACATATTTATCCTATGCCATAACTGTATGGTTATGTGTCATTTCAACAGCAGTGATCCCTACACTTTAGATATGCTTCCAAGAGAGGTACCACCTATGCTGGATGACTTACCCGAGAGAGACAAGGAAAATATAACTGGCTAGTAAGTTTCCTCTTTATTTTTTATTTAATATAATTTACAGTGAACTTTTAGCACTTATGTGAGTGCATATAGCATTTACATAAAACACGTACACAGTGACAAAAAAAATGGATGGTTCTTTTTGCATAAAGTATCCTTTTGATTTCCCAGGCTAAAAAGTATAGGATGGATAGAAATAATACTGCTACAGAAAAACTAAATGTTTTTAACATATTCATTTTTAGTGAGAGTGAATCGGAGTTAAAAGTGGTTCTTACCCCAGATATGCTGAAAGCCGAATTTCCGCAGATTGAATCAGGAAAAGATGGAAGGTAAATGGATATTTTTTTAAATCCAGGGAAGATGCTTGGCTAGGATGTTCAGGATTATGGACAGGCCAATTGCTGAGGTCCCTTTGTGGTTCCATCATTAAGATGATGTTCAAATTGTGCTCTTTGGGCAGGACCGAGTCCCTTTGTTTCATACTTCACAGTTTGAACTTAATCTCTACATTAAAACACGCTGGCTCTTCTTGGGCCAGGTGAATTTTCCATGAAGGTGGTTGGTTGGTTGGTTTTTTGTCCGATATTTACTGACTTTGGCAAAGGAAATGAGTCCTTTGAAATTTTCCCTTGGGATTATGATGTTTGTTTTAGGTTGCCCCAGCTAAAGATTGCTTCCCACATACAGTCATTCCCATGGTGTCTTGCACATACGCTGCTTTTTAAATGTCACATATATAAACCCAAAAAAGGGGATTAGCTCTTTGTTATAACCTGGCATAGCCACCCTGGAGCACCCATGGAAAAACCTAGTGGGTGCTTAGCACCCAACAGCAGTCAATTCCACCTTCCCTCCCAATCCCAGTCCTTCCAGTCTACAGGTGTCCCCTCTGATTAACTCCTCCCAGAGCCTCCCACCTGCTGGGATCATCTGTTTCACAGCACGGAAGAAGTGTTGGAGGGGAAGGGAAAAGAGCAGGGATGGGGCACACTCAGAGTAGGGGCAGAACTGGGAAGAGTTGGGGTGAGGGTGGGGGCTTGGGGAAAGGGAGCATAGGTGGGCAGAGCCTTGGGTGGACAGGGAATTGAGCACTCTTCGGGCCTGGAGGAAGCCAGAGCCTATGTAATCTGGTCTCTGCTAGAAAGCCAAGAGACCAGTGTTCCCTCTTAGCTGTGCGCTTGTGCAGCTGCCGAGGAAAAATTTAAATGCCATCCATCTGATTAGCAGAGCATGCACTGTGAGGTTTTGTGTTTCTATTGGTGGTGCACATCCATAAATGCCACAGTGAATGTAAAAATTATTCCGCGCATGGATGGAAAAAATCCACACACAGATGGAAAAGATTAGAGGGAACATTTCAGGAGATCTATCAGGCTCTGCTGGTGACTTCCGTTCTCCAGTACTGCTAGGCTGCATTGCATCCACAGCTCAGCACAGAGATCCTGGGGAGCCCGGCTGGGCGGAGGGGAGACAGGGAGGGCTCTGAAGGATGGACAGGGGTTTTGTAGGTTAAGCAGCAGGCAGGCAAGGATGGCTAACTCTATTGTCTTGGCTTCAAGATAGCAACTCCATGGGCTGGAGAGTGGGGGCAAGTGCACTTGTGGGGAGTCATAGGAGGATGTGAGGGAGGCTGAGCAGGGCAAGGAAGGTGATCAGGGGCTAAGATGGTAAAGTAAGATGGGGAGCATGGTATTGTGGAAGCAGTGAGGCTTTGGCCAGAGGCAATGTGGTCTGATACAAACAAATGTAGAGTTAGGTATGAGCCAATCCTGTGTTCTAACCCTGACTCTGTCACGGATGCACTGTGTGGCTTTGGGCCAACTGCTTCACTTCTCCATGGTAAGTCTTGCCATCTGCAAAATAGGGGTAATCATGTTTGCCTGCCTCCCTCACAAAGCTGCTGAGAGAACAGCTTTGAATTTGCAGGCTGTGATTTTCATAACCACCTAATTCCCATGCATTCAAAAAGGAATTGAGTTTTCAAACCCCTAAGCAGCATATCATACATAAAGCATTATATAAATGCTAAGCATTATGGCGACTATAATGAAGTGCTAATTATAGTATTGTAATCTCTGTGGTGTCAATTTACAGTAATTTACAGTACATAAGCACCTGAATTTATTTATGTGTCTCAGTCCTGCTTTCTCTGTTCCCTCTCACTCTGCTCTTTAGAACATGAGGATTTGGAATAGTTTGTTTTAATAAGGAATGGTCTTTTTCTCCTAGTGATACAGCACTAGAAGTTAAACGTGCTTCCAGCAACATAGTGGATACCTCTGCTCCTGTTTCTGGGTAAGCAGATGGGTGACTGTTAAGATTCATTCTTTTAAAATTCTGTTATTTTCTACAAAGCTAAAAAAATCCTACTTTAAACAAATCTTGGCTCAGGAGACAGCCTGGCCCATGGGTTTGGAACAAACTCACATAGTAACTAAAGACCATCACAAACCTCACCATCTTTCATTCTAATGCAAGGCACATTTCTTTGACCTGGCCTTCTCTAACAAACAAATAATTTTGTGTCCATGTGTGTGTGTTATAAAAAAATCAAAACAAAATACTCCCTATTCACACTTCTCCCCTGGAGAGTGGATGAAAGAACAGATGTGACAGGTATTAGTCACACAATTTAATGCATGACTGGAAGGTGCGTATATACTATGGTAATGAGCACAGCATAAGAGCGTCTATTGAACAGAAAAGAATATTGCATTAGAAATGTTCTATTCATTGAGCTTTGGGTACCTCTGCACTAGCCAGAGGAGGCTGTGTTGGCTAGATTACTCCCATTAGCATTAGTTGTAGACCAGTGATTACATCTACTAGAGAAAGTCTCAGAGGGGTAGCCGTGTAAGTCTGTAACTTAAAAAAATTGACGAGGAGTCCTGTGGCACCTTATAGACTAACAGATTTATTGGAGCATAAGCTTTTGTGGGCAAAGACCCATTTTTCATCAGATACCCACAAAAGCTTATGCTCTAATAAATCTGTTAGTCTATAAGGTGCCACAGGACTCCTCGTCAATTTTTTTAAGTTACAGACTTACACGGCTACCCCTCTGAGACTTTCTCTAGTAGATGTAATCACTGGTCTACAACTAATGCTAATGGGAGTAATCTAGCCAACACAGCCTCCTCTGGCTAGTGCAGAGGTACCCAAAGCTCAATGAATAGAACATTTCTAATGCAATATTCTTTTCTGTTCAATAGACGCTCTTATGCTGTGCTCATTACCATAGTATATACGCACCTTCCAGTCATGCATTAAATTGTGTGACTAATACCTGTCACATCTGTTCTTTCATCCACTCTCCAGGGATTGCCCCGGGCAAGTAGATTACAAAGGTTGTCGAGCCCTGCATATAAATATCATGAGCTTTTATGGGGGAAAAACCCACTTTTTTAGATGAGGTCGAGTGGAGAAAAAAGGGGGGACTTTCAGAATTTATAACAGGAAGAAAAAGGGAGGGGGGAAGTGCCTGTCAATTGCCATGCTGGTGCTAATGAGGCTAATTGAGTGGGCTGGATGTATTCCATACTTAGCTTTTGATCTCAGTGAGGTGTTAAATTTAGGGAAAACAGCTGTTATAATGGGCCACCCAGTTAATGTCTTTGTTCAGGCCAAGGGAAACAGTGTCAAATTTGCCTATGAGCTCAATTCCCCACTCTCTTTATATGTATATAGTTGGCTTGTGGAATTCTTTTGTAGGAGAATGGCTACTTTTAAATCCAGGATTGAGTGACCAGGCAGGTTAAAATGTAAAATTTACTAGAGAATATATTGCTGCTTTTTTTTTTTTTTTTGCCATTCTTAGGGTATCTCTGCCACCATGACTGTGAGGATTGGTTTTGGTTTTATTTGATTTTTACCCTCCTAGCATCAGAGATTGGTCACGGCAGGAGATGGGACACAGGGGGAGGTAGACCAGAACAGGGAATCCTCTTTCTCAGACCCTGGGCTGCTGTGTCTTGCTCCCATGTTCAGGGTCAAACTGATCACTAGTTGGGGAATGGGAAACTAGTTGGGGACCTTGGAAGTTTCCATCATTCTTTGCAGCCTGGGCTATGGATCGCCTGCTAGGATGATCTGGGCATATCTAAGCTAATCAATTCCCTGCCATTGCAGGAGCCTCGGGTGTTACTGACTGAGGACTGACACGTTTTGGTCTCACTAAAATCATGGGCTCAGCACAGAGGTATCCAGGTGAAATTTAAGGGCTTGCAACATAAAGGAAGTCAGACTAGATGATCTAATGACATTTTCTGACTTCAAACGGGGATGGGCAATAATTTTTGACAGGGGGCCACTCCAAAATTTTGGAAAGTGGTCAAGGGCCTCACTCCTCCATGATATTAATGGAGGAGATGTGGGGTCTGGGATGGAGTTTGGGTGCAGAAAGGAGCTAGGGATAAGGGATTGGGGTGTGGGAGGGAGACTGGAATCTGGGAAGGAGTTTGGGTGAAGGAGGTGGTTGTGACCTAGGGCAGGGGACTGGAGTGCAGGGGTTTGGGATGTGACCTATGGTAGGAGGGGATTGGGATTTGGGGCAGGAGATTGGGGTGCCAGATCTGGGAGGGAGTGTAGTGCAAGAGGGGGACATAGGGTTTGGGTATGTTGAGTGGGGGAGGCAGAGGGTTGGGGCAGAGAGGGGCTGGGGTGCCAGAGGCATGCTGTGGCCAGGAGACTTAGCAGCCAAATCAGCCTGCCTGCCTGCAGAGCTAAGGCTTGCAGAGCTTAAAATGTTTCCCAGCCAGCCAGCCTGCCTGCTTGCCGAGCCATGTGCTTCACTGAATAACTGAGCTGAATAACTGAGCTGAGGAGAGGGGGTGTGGTTCTTCTTGGCTGCCTGTTATTCAAACAAGCAACTCCCATTGGCTGGTTTCTGGCCTGAAACCGACCAATGGGAATGTGCTGGGGGTGGAGCAGCTCCTGAAACTTCCCTCCTCACCTCCAGTTTTGAAACAGAAAGGAAGGCAGACAATTGCATTTCTGCACGGGGCTGCGGGGGAAACAGGGGAGCCTGCCTGGGGCTCCCCACTGCCTCTGAGGGCCAGATCTGGTGGTTTAGTGGGCCAGATGTGGCCTGCAGGCCATATTTTGCCCAGGCCTGATAAGCTTTAAATGCTATGAAATTGCTTCTCCCTGCAGCTACTGAGATGTGGAGTTTGAGTTTATTCTCAGGACACTTTATTGTGCAATGATACAGGCTCTGTGTCTTGATTACAGAGAAACTTGTGGTGCAATGTCCAAAACAACGAAAAGAAAAAAGAAAAATTCAGTGCCTTGCATTGTGACATGCATCAGAGGAGTAGCCATGTTAGTGTATATCTCCAAAAACAATGGGGAGTCCTGTGGCACCTTAGATTAACAGATTTATTTGAGCAAAAACTTTTGAGTCTTTTTCCACAAAAGCTTATGCCCAAATAAATCTGTTAGTCTTTAAGGTGTCACAGGACTCCTCGCTGTTTTTAAGAAAAATCGTGATTCTCATCCTAATGCTGAGTTTTCCACAGTTGCTCTCTCCACATGACCACACGGGACTGAGGACAAGTCTGAGAAATGGGAGCCCGTGGCCAGTGAGTCTGGAAACTGCATAAATCCACAGGTCACAATCCTCATTGGTGGGGGAGGGGACACAAGACAGTAGCTGCTGCTAAAGCAAGTAGGCAATAATACAGCCATAATACAGGCTTAGCATTTCCTGCATGACAGATTTGTGGAAAAGTTTCCTATTTGCTTGAGCTTTAAAATGGCGGACTCCAGACTGTATTAACAAACAAGTAAGACCTAATCTAGTGTCTTTTGATGCCAGTGGAAGTTGCTTGAATTCCCAACAGAAGGCTTGTTAGCATCTCCTTCTGCCCGCCACCCTCACAAATATGATTCAATTCTGTGGTGATCTGGAAGCCTATTTTTGCCACCTCCATCTAAAGGAATTTTTCCAACACACCAACGAACAACATACTGACCCTCAAGATCCCACTTGCCAACCCCACAAGAAGAAAGCCTCTATGTGGCCTCCTCCTGATGGTCGTAATGAGAGTCTTGCCTTCTATATCAATTGCTTCCACAAATGTGCATGGGCCGACATTGTCAGCAAACAACATGTGACATATAACTCAGCCATGTACAACACAATGCTATACACAGCCTTAAAAACAATTTTAATATTATAATCAAAGAGTCTGACAAAGGGGGCGCTGTAGCCATCATGAATAGAACAGATTATGAACAGGAGGCTGCCAGACAACTCACCAGTACCACATTCTACAGGCTTCTCTCCTCTGATCCCACTAAAGAATACCAATAAATCCTAAATCACCTGCTCATGAAACTCCCTGATACAACTTGGGACCACGTCTATACTAAAAAACTCAAATCCCGAAGATCCACAAACCTGGAAATCTCGGATGTCCCATCATCTTAGGCATTGGCACACTTACAGCAGGATTATCCGGTTATGTTGACTCTCTCCTCAGACCCTATGCTGCCAGCACTGCTAGCTATCTTTGAAACACCACCAGCTTCCTGAGGAAACTACAGAACATCAGAACCTTTCTGAAAACACCATCCTGGCCACCATGGAAGTAGAAGCTCTTTACACCAACATTCCACGTGATGATGGATTACAGGCTATCAGGAACACTATCCCCAATGATACCACTGCACACCTGGTTTCAGAGCTCTGTGACCTGAACCTTGCCCACGACTATTTCCAATTTGTGGAAAATTTTTATCTTCAAGTCAGCAGCACAGCTATGGGCAGCTGCATGACCCCTTTATGCCAATATCTTTATGGCTGATCTTGAACAATGCTTCCTCAGGTTTCGCTCCCTAGCACCTTTACTCTACCTACGCTACATTGATATTATCTTCATCATATGGACCTATGGGAAAGAGACCCTTGAAGAATTCCACAGGGATTTCAACAACTTCCACCTCACTATCAACCTTACCCTGGAACAGTCCGTACAAGAGATCCACTTCCTTGACACTACAATTAAATGACGGCCACATTTCCACCGCCTTATACCAGAAACCTACCAACCGTCACACCTACTTACATGCCTCGAGCTTCTATCCAAGACACATCACACAATCAGTTGTTTACAGCCATGCCCTAAGATACAACCAGATTTGCTCCAAGCCCACAGAGACATATACAGGATCTCTATCAGACATTCTTAAAACTTAAATACCCACCCAGGGTAATGAAGAAAACAGATTGACAGAGCCAGACATCTTCTTCAAAATAGGCCTAACAAACAAAATAACAGAATACCACTGGTCATTACCTACAGCCCACAACTTAAACCCCTACAGCACATCATTAACAATCTACAACCTATCCTGGAAAATTATCCCTCACTCTCACAGGCCTTGGGCGATGGGCCAGTCCTCACCTACAGACAACCCTCTAACATGAAACAAATTCTTTCCAGCAACCACACAGCACATCTCCATCATACTCACCCAGGAACCCACCCCTGCAATAAACTCCAGTGCCAACTCTGTCCACCATTCTTTCAGGACCTAACCACATAAGCCCCCACCTCAGATGCTCATACAACTGCACATCCACTAATGTGATCTATGCCATCAAGTGCCAGCAGTGCCCCTCTCCCATGTACATTGGCCAAACTGGACAGTCTCTACTACAAAAAATTAATGGACACAAGTCAGATATTCAAAGTGGTAACACACAGAAACCTGTTGGGGAACATTTTAACTTGCCCGGGCACTTTCTAATGGATCTAAAAGTGACTATACTATTACAAAGCAATTTCAAAAAACAACTAGAGAGAGAAGCTGTGGAACCTACGTTTCTTTGCAAATTTGACACCTGTGATCAAGGTCTGAACTACTGGATGGGCTGCTACTTTCAACACCCTAAAGACATCAAAAGTAAAGTATTGGGCACTTAAGCCCACTCTGTTAGCCTCATTTAGCATGATCACTCTAATTGACAAGGTTTTTTTTCCTTCTCTTTGCCTCCTTCCCTTCTTTTTTTGCTGTTTATTTGTACCCCTGGATCTCTTGCTCCATTCATCTGAAAAATGGGGTTGTGCCCACAAAAGCTCATGATATCATCTACATTTGTTGTTAGTCTCTAAGGTGCTGCCGGACCATTCGCTGTGTTTTAAGTTTTTTCAATTACAGACTAACATGGCTACCCCTCTGAGACTTTTTAGCAGTATTGTGTGTGTGTATTTTACTGGATTATACCATTTCTATTTTTCACTCTCTTGAAATCTCTCCAAACATATTGTTGCTGCAAAGTTAGTAGCTCTCCAGTAAGCAGTTAGTTGAGCTCAGAGGAAACGCCCCCATCACAGTCCATTTTACCTTTTTTAATACTGTCTATACTCATATAGAACAGCACTTAAATAGGCCTTCCTAAAGATATCTCCTGCCTCTAAAAACAAAGTGAATGTGACACGTTGGCATGAATGGCTCTCGCTTTGGTTTTATCACCTTTCTGTAACAGTTTACCTTGTTATAAATTACTTTCACCATCTCCTGCAGAGACCCAAGAGACCATCTGGATCGGTATTTTCAATCCCAGAATAGCAAACTCAGAGAGAGGCTGGAGAAAATGAAGCAGAAAGCACTCAACAAAACCCTCATTCTGGAATAACAGCTAGTTCACAAATTCCTCAAGTCAGTCCCTGTTTCTTTTACACTAACATGCTGTATCTCAGCCCCACAATATTGCCGGTTCAGGACTTCAGTATCTGTGCAGAACAGGTATGAAATTATGATCAGCAAGCAACAGATTTCTGTAAAGGCACAAACCCCCTCTTGTACAATCTTGACTACAGTCATTACTGTATATATTGTATTTGAGCTGAATGACCTCTCTGTGAGGGATTCCTTCCCTATATGCTTGTTCATTGTGCACTGGGGTTAAGTGCTGGAGAATTAAACAAGCGCATCAATAGTTTGTAGTTTTATATACAACTTTCCGCACACACATACCTATTTAATGGACTATCTTTTCTCTGCCACTAAGTACTGTTTTATATGCATTTTGTCTGAGAGTGTCTGCTGCTTTCAAATAAAATGTAAAAACCTCTATGAAGAAATTGTTTGGATTTGGCTAATTTCAATATTATTTTGATATAGATTTTGCTCACAAACTAGAGTAAACTCCGTGGATGAGCCTGCAGTACAGCCCAGGGGCCTGTCCATGAGTGGTTTCCGGTGCGTCACTGAGGACTAGTCTACACTGGGAACTTACCTCAGCACAGCTACACCTCTCGGGGGTGTAACACATCTATAGCCTAAAAGATGCAGTTATGCTGATCTCACTCCCGTAGACAGTGCTAGAGTGATGGAAGAGTTCTTCTGTCAGCTTAGCTACTGCCTCCGAGGCCATGTGTACACTATTATTTATATTGGCAACATTGTTGTCACTCAGATGTGAAAAAACACATCCTGGAGCAACATGTGTTTTGTTGGCACAAGCAGGCATGTGCATAGCATTATGTCGGCTGGAGAGCCTCTCTGCCTCTGCTCATGGAAGTGGTTGTATTCTGCCAACAGGCACTCCCTTCGCCACAGAGCAGCTGCAAAAGTGATCAGTCCAGCTCTGCCGTTGTAAGCTTGCTAGTAGACATGGCCGCAGGGAGGCAGATGAATTCCAGTGACAGGAGAACCCCTGCTGTTGCTGTAGCGAGTGTCTAACTGAAGCACTACAGTGGGGGCAGACGCAGCTGTGCTGCTGTAGCATTTTAAATGTAGACATGCCCTGACTCTAAGTCTCCACCCAAGCTATTCACTCCTGGTTGGTACTGGGAGGGGGGACTTAAGTCCTGTTATTGTCCACAATTAAACAACAGGCACTGACCCTGTGACAAGGCAATCTGCTCCTTTAATTGCTGCGGGAAGCGGGGGTGGAAAGGGAGCAGCCCTCTGCCCAGCAAGCAGGCTAGCAGACAGGTCCTGGGAATCAGCTGACATAGGTGATCAACACTTCATGTGTGAGCCACACTCTCACCAGGACAACATAAAGGCAAACTCAGCTCTGTGCAGGGAGGGGCAAACCAGACATAGACTTGAGTCTGTCAGCTTTTTCCTTCCTCCCCTGAGGCTCCTGGTATTGGAAAGGGCCCTACCCAGTAGCTGAGGAGCCCAGTCTAAACCCCTTATGAAACTGTTTGTGTTTTTTGTTGTGCACTTTGTTTTCCTAGGCCACGTCTACACTGCAAGGTTTTTGCGCAAAAACAGCTGGTTTTGTGTAAAAACCCGTGGAGCATCCACACCTCAAATGTGCTTTTGCACAAGGAAATCAAGGAAAACAGAGGGGCTTTTTCTGCCATACGTAAACCTCCTTTTACGAGGCATAACTCCCTTTTGCGTAAGAGTTCTTGCGCAAAAAGGCATGTGTGGATGCTCCAGAGGGGTTTCTTGCATAAGAGCGTTCATGCGGTATGGCCGCTCTCTTGCACAAAATCGTAAAAACTCCTGTGCAAAAGGCTTCTTGCACAAGAAACATGTAGTGTAGATGTAGCCCTAGGGAAGAAAGTAAATAGAGCCCTGAAAAACGGGGAAGAAGCCTACCCTGTGTGGCTGGCTGTCCATCCCCAGCTGATGACAAGGTCCACTGGTGTACAGTCCCCTCCAGCATCCAGTAGTGAGGGAGTTAACACCTTGCTCAAGTAGGCCGCTCCCAAGCAGGTGGAATGGATCCAGATGTAACGAGAGAGAGAGAGAGAGAGAGAAAGCTCCTGAATGAGGGAAAGGAGAAGTTTCTAGTGAACAGACTTCATAGACTACTAGGAGAAAGGGGAAATGCCAAGGTGCCTCAGGAACTCTGTGACAGGTTAGCAGGGGGTTGGCTTGGCAGTAGCTTGAGTAGGGCTTGTTTATTCTCTACGTTGTGGTATATTCAAGTTAAAGCTTGCCTCATGCAAGGTTATTGTGACAAACATTTGAGAGAAAAGCTCTGTGTGAAAGTCTGCCTTGGAATTGGGGTGGGTGGGTGTGTTCGCGGTCGCCTCTCCCCTGAGGAAAGCAGGCTCCAGGGTGTTACCACACAGACACATCCTTGCTTAACTTTGGAACACTAATTAAGGTGGGGTTATTCTAGGGGGAAGTTTTAAGTATAGTGCCCCCTTACCTGAGATGCATGTAACTTTTCCTAGTGCCAAGCAACTGTCATAAAGTCAGTCTTTGTTGTGGGAAAGTAGTGGGTTGACTTGTGTGTTTGGTTTATCCTAGGAGAGCTGGTTAGGCAATTTAAAGAATGGTCTAAGCTTTCTAAAGCTGAGACCGTAAAAAGCCTGATTCCTATGGACTGCACCTCTGTCAGGTAAGGTCATGAAATGCTGAAATCCCCATTGCATGTTAGGACCTGTGTTATATGCCAGAAATGCTTCCTTGAGATGCAGCCCCTTAGGAAACAAGTTGGAGTCAGAACAGATAAATGCTGATACCAACCAAAATCCCCAGGTGCAAGGAGTGGTGCAAAAAGGGAGCCTGTTTTCCCCTAGGTTTCAGAGGGTAGCCATGTTAATCTGTTTCAGCAAAAACAACAAGGAGTCTAGTGGCACCTTAAAGACTAACAGTTTTATGAGAACATACACTTTCATGAGTTGCAACTCACAAAAGCATATGCCTCGATACAATCGTTAGTCTTTAATGTGACACTGGACTCCTTGTGGTTTTCTTCTCTGTGTGTCAGACAGCTGTAGCTACTCCCAGCCAATTATTTTAGCTTTGTTGTCTCAGAGAGGCTAAGAGTAGGTTTCTGCTAATTGCTTAAAAACACAGTTGCCACCAAGGTAAACCTGGAAGTTGCACAGTATTGGGTGTCTTCAGATTTTCTCTTATTACAATGAGTGTTTAAATAGGCGAGATGCATGCTGCTGCTTTCTTCTGTTGAGGGAAACTGAGCAACAAGTCTAGATGGACTTGTCTAATACTCTAATTTGGGGACATATGTGATGCATGGATTCTGTTCTCCAGAGCAAAGATTAGTAAAAGGGTTGATAGCAGTATGCCAGAATGAGGCAGCATAAAGCAGCTAAGATTTTACTTACAGGTGGTGGTAGAGGAAGGGTTTGAAAAGGGATGGGGCCAGGGCAGCCATAGAATGAGATGATAAAACAGCTCTCATCGGAGGGCTGTTCTCACCAGTGGAATTGTAGTAGTTGTTTCAACAGAACCCAGAGCCACTCAATAGATCTTCAAGGTGATGCACCTTGCTCCTGTGTTCTAAGGTTTGTAGGGCCAGGGATCAGCCTGCCGAGAGGAGGTTCTTTGTTTCCACAGCCCCCAGGGACAACTCCAGCAGCCACAGCACAGAGGAGGTCTAGCAGCCATACTTTCTATCCCTATAAAGCAGGGGTGGGGAACCTACGGTGGGGAACCTGAGGGCTACCCCCCACAAAATCTATTAGCCTGGGCCTCCCTAGGCTTTGGTGTGCAATGGGAATGTGAGGAGTGTCTTTCTGCTTCTCAGTCGGGGGCCATGTCAGTGAGGTGGCTTTTTTGCATGGTCCCCAACTGATTTTTTCTGTGGGTCAGCGGCCCCTGGCTAAAAAAGGTTCCCTGCTATAAAGCAACTTTACACCACCCAGGGTGACCCCTTGTGCAGTGGGAACATGGGGAGCACTAGGTCAGCTATTGTACCTTTTGTGTCCCCAGGAATGACTCCCCTTTTTGCAATGTAGCAGTTTCTTCAGTTATGGGAAGTTGTGTTTCTGCAACACACGACAGCTGGTCAAACTGACTTGCCACATCTTTGGAATCTACTCGTTCAAAGGCTGCCAAATGTTTGCTATGCAGTGTCTGACTAGTTCAAATTACTTTGGGTTACCTGGATTATGGAAGGTGATCGATATATAATTCCAAGTTCTGTTCTGTATCATACTGGCATATGCATGTCGGTTTTGCTAATCCCACATCAGTTAAAAAAAAAAGTACTCCAAATTACCATGGGTGGAGGAATTTCTCAGTGAAATTTCTCTTGTGGGGAAAACCAAAACTTTTCATTGAAATGTATCGGTTTCAATTAAACTATTGTCAGGAAGGTTTCTCAGCTCTCAGAGATTCACCCCACAATAGCTTAGTGGCATTCACTTGGGATACAGGAAACTCAGCATCAGACCTTTGTTGTGCTGGATTCAGAACTGGGTTGTGAGAAACCTGATTTAGAGCCCCAACCATTTGGGTCTTGGCTATTTAACAGTGATTCTCTCACTTTTTGTACCTGATTTGGAAGGATTTTGGTTTGGTCCCAGTGGAGCAGGAAACTCTTTTGAATCCTCCACAGAATTCATGAGATGGGAAACCCACTCCTCTCAACCCCCCACCTTGCTCTACTTAGCTTCCTGTGTTCTTCTTTAATTGTACTCTGTGCATCCCCTGCCTTAGCCCATGTGTTATTTGCTTAAAAACATGAAATTTGCCTACATAATTATAAGTGCTTCTTGAAGTGTGTCAGTCACGAAATGCAGAAGTTTTCTGGCCTGCACAAAACATTTTTATTTCTATGATTAAATATTATTTTGGTAAATAAAATAGTAACACTTTTAAAAATGTATCTCAAAAACAATGAGTACATTTAGTTTCCCAAGGCAAAGCCTCCTAAATCACCTGCTGGAGAAACACAGAATCCTTTCAGGGGTTGGTTTCCTGGGGGCTGAGCCCTTAGAACTGAGTCCTCCTAGCACTGAACTGGTTCAGTGTCTTTATTGCTCTGCAGGGGGATGGTAACCCCAACCCTGTGCCTTGGATGGGGAGACCAGAGGATGTGGCCAAGCAGGACAGGATAGCGGGGAGCCCCAGGGAGCAGAAAGGCAGGTGTCAGTGGCATGATCAGCCTGCCAGGGGACAACCCAACAAGATGTTGGTGATTTTAACCCATTGCAGTATGCTAAGAAGAAGTGGCATTATTCATGTGCTTAAGTCAGTGGTTCTCAACTCGTTTCAGTCCATGGACCACCAAGCCAATCAAAAAATGTTCGTGGACCACCTCCAGCACATGTAGCACAGGACGAACGACACAGCAACAGCTCAGCACGACAGCGGCAGCTACACTGATACTCAGAGCCTCAGACGGAAGTTACTGGCAAC